CAGGATAATCGAATCCGTTGCCCAGGTAACCTTTTGGCTGGTTGAGTGGACAGCGATGCCAAAAAAAAGGTTAAATCAGTGAGGTCTTCGAATGTGAAGACTCATTGCGGGGGTAATGATGTTTGGCAACCACTTTGATAGACAGCTTCATTCAAACGGTCCGCTTTTTTTCCGGCTTTGCCAGTGAATATTGTTTTCCTCAGATAAACGGTGTAATATCGAAATTTATGAGAAAGTTTCAGCTCGTTTCACCCCAGAATACATTAACAAGCATTGAGCCGCTTTAATAAAGAGCCTCCGAGGGAGAAGCGTATTTTTTCCACTTTTATTCCTGTATCGATTGTCCGTTTGAGTGTGTGGGCATTGGCGATGAGCTGGATGTATCTGCTGCTGATATGTTGGCCTAATCATTCGACTGGAAATCGTACAAACAAAGGCACGCCTTCACGAATGTTTTTGATGTTGAATGAGTGGGATTTTGACTTGTCGGCGGAACGGGTGGGGATACACAGACACAGGACTCGTCAATGGGGTCCCTGTCGTTATCCCTTGAGCTTTTCGACCCTCTTGTCGAGCAAATAAAGTTACTTTGCCATCAGGCGGGGACAGACAAAAGTTGGCCTACATCTAGTTAATTAAGTAGCTATTACAGAGCCCACAAGCCACATTAAAGCTGCATTTCAAACCAAATGAAAAGCCACAGCATACGTCACTATTTCTGGGAATTACAATTTAAGAGCTTATACAATTTAATGTTTTTTGCGGAATGTGCAGAATTGAAGATTTAATCGAAAACGCAATCGTAGCGCAATTTGAAAAAAATTCCAGCAATTTTCATTTTGTGGAATTTGAGTCGAGCAGTTTAAGTGATTCAGTAATTAATCCATCTGTGTTTAATCCCTTTTTGCATTTATGTAATTTCCATCGAAGCTCTTTAATTTATTTCCTGCAGAAGCACCTGCCATGAGATTTATGAAATCGATTCGGTAAAGCAATTTTTATACCCGTTACTCGTAGAGTAAAAGGGTATACTAGATTCGTGCAAAAGTATGTAACAGCTAGAAGGAAGCGTTTCCGACCCCATAAAGTATATATATTCTTGATCAGGGTCACTAGCCGAGTCGATCTAGCCATGTCCGTCTGTCCGTCTGTCCGTCTGTCTGTCTGTCTGTCTGTCCGTCTGTCCGTCTGTATGAACGCTGAGATCTCAGAAACTACAAAAGCTAGAAGGTTGAGATTTCCCACACATATTCTTTGGCTTCCTACGCAGCGCAAGTTTATTTTAGCCGAGCGCCACGCCCCTCTAACGCCCACAATCCCCCACTAACGATTTTAAAATGGGTCCTGCGCCCACATCTTTAAAGATTTCCGAGAAGTATAAATGCAATTTTGTTGTGTATATTTATACCTATCGAAATGTAGAAGACATTTTTCAAATCGGACCATTCATTAAAAAGTTATACGCAATCAAAAATTATATATCTATCTCCCTCGCACTCCCTTTAGCTGAGTTACGATTATTAGTCGGGACACCAACCCGACACAGCGTTCGCACTCCCTTTAGCTGAGTGACGGGTATTAGATAGTCGGGACAACAACCCGACTATAGCGTTCTCTCTTGTTTATTTTATTGTTTCCCTGCATTGTAAATTAGTTATATCACCGCTGGCATATTTATTATCAGCGCACGGAAGCACATATCAATCAAATTCAAAAGGAAATAATCAATTCTCGGGTAGCGGGGAAAATCTGTGAAGTGTTATTACTGGTATGCTGATGATGATTATAATTATTGTTATGGTGATTTACCTGTCTGCGTTGCCAGCGGCCACAGTGCGTATGAGTGATGATGTGTGAACGCTGGAAATCAATTACGGGGTGTATTTACATATGCATGATTTTACTAGGTGGCAGTCACATAGCACTTGGACACTTTCCCCTGCAGGAAGAGACTCACTTATGAAGGCAAATTTTTACTATAATTACTTTCACCCACTCCTTTTGGAAAATTTATTTAATGACCACTTGGGAGTCCAGTCGCCTGTAGCGGGTGCAAAGTTAATTTTCTGCCTTGGCTTGGCTTTTAATAAGAATTCTGTTGTCAAATCATGCCAAGTTTTTTTCTTTTTCTATTTTTGTTGATAGAAATTATGTAAATAATGCTGGGGAGCAATTTTTGTCAGCTTCTTCGTCTTTTCCGCTGCCAGTTCCATTCTTTGACTTTTAATACGAAAAGTCAGCAGCGTAATAGAAAATTGTTTGCCTCATAATGGAAGAATAAATCTGCCAACAGCGCATTCGGCACGCGTTGCGTATACGTAATATGAGAAAATAATTGCTGCCAGCATTGGCGACTAAATTGCTTTCGAAGCGAGCCCAAAAAAGCACACACTCCCATACACACAGTCAAAGCGATGAGATTGCAGAAAAGTTTCTTTTTTTTTAACAGAAAACAGCGCAGAAAATGATTTCGTTTACAATGGTTTCCCTTGTTCATTGCCCTCCAAACCCACATCCCTCAAAAGGCCGAAAAACGGAGCTTTTACGGTCGTGTTTATTGGCCTCTTGTTGACCAAAACATTTGTTTGGCTTCCAGCGAATTTCCTTGTACATCCTGGATCCTCGGGTCTCAAGTCCCGAATCTCGAGTCTGTCATTGCCATTGCTCTGCTGATGTTTCTCCTTTCGCACTCGCCATAAATCATTATTATCAGGAGCAACATTTTAATGACTTTGGACATTTGCATACCCATACACCTGTTTACCTGAAGGGGCGGACAGGGGGCGTGGCTGGGCTGGGCTTAGCTCAGAGGACGGAATTGTAGTTCAAGGACTTGGGAGTAAGCCGATGGCTTAAAGGCTTCAATGAGGTCCTCTGAGGAAGCCCAAATCCCCGGGTGCGCAATTTTCGTTGATTATTTCGGTAAATTTACATTTGTCTTGAACGACTAACCGCATCGTTTTGGGGTTTAATTTGGTCCTTTAAATGACGCTCTGTTATTTATTGTTTTTCATTTTGACTTCCACCAGGATATCCTAAAATTCCTAATATATTTATGTCTTTTATGTCTGATTTTGGAGAGCAAAATAAACCTACGGACTGACTGATTTACACCAAGTCCAGATTTCCAAAGTCCTTGCAGCTGGACCCAAGCCGATGAAAGGATTCGAGAATTTATTTTCGTTTATAGACAATTTCCATATGTGTTCGTGCGAAAGGAAATTCATTTTGCATTCAGGGTTTTTGGTCTCCCAACAGAAATCTCTCTATTCTATAAAAAGCACTGAGTAAGCGAGTTGTAAACCGAAAAATACATCTGCCATAATTCGGCTTGTGATGCTCGTGTGCATTTTCCAAAAATATAAAGGGGGTTGTTGGTTGCTGAATTCAATGGAAATGTTAGTGCTGGTCTTTGAATTTAAGTCTCTTGCTTTTTGGGGATCGCCCATCCAAGGGCATTCAAACTTCGCTTTGCGTTTTTCTTCACTCCTGCTGTTGACCCGCCAAAGCTGTTTTTCACTTTTCTTCGTGACACATGCTCACCCGCGCAGCCTTGGATTCTTGTTCTCGTATGCATAACAAAAATGGCAACGCCAGCAACAGGGCCAAAACTCAAGCGACGCTGCCTGTGGGCGGAATATGAAATACTGTCGGGGGCCCAAAGGACCTGGCTTTTAATTGTGTGTCGGAAATTATGTTTCACTTTTACCACCTCCGGCACATCATCAACAAGCCTCGACGGGCTTTTGTTACCTCCAGAAAGAGTAACCCGAGGCAGGACTCTCCTGCACTGCAAATTGGAGGGCTCCTGCGAAATCAGAGTTCCCACAAAAAGAGTATTATTTCATGCAATTCAATTGTTGGTTTTTCTGTCTAATATTTTGCAGCTGTAGTTCTAGCCAATGCTTTAAAGCCATACGTATTTAATTGTATTTTTTGCGAGTGCCTCGTTGGACGATATGTTGACTTTGAAAAGGTTTCTAGGAAATTCTGTGAGTACAGCAGAAATGTTTTATCGAATGGCAAACTACGAATGACCATAAATGCTAATTATAAGAGCTTTTGGTTTGTTGGCTTGTTAAATGAATAACGCTAACTGTTTGCTTGTATTTTATATGAAGAGTAATGAAAACAAATAAATGTTTTGTTATTTTTTGCTGGGAAACATTTTTTTGGTTTAATAATACACATATTTTTTTAATCCTATGTGTATATGGTAATTATTATTATAGCTGAGGGTTTTCAAGTTAACTAAAACATTTGGGTCGTTTATTCTTCAATTACAAAAAGATTAATGTGCATTGTAAACTGTAACCTTTGGAAATCTAATCTAATATACCATCTAAATAATATTTTCTTTATTCCTTTTGCTCGCAGCGCCTCTGCACTTCCCAGACTATGTGACTAAATCCTGCTATTGGATCATTTTAATTCGATTAAAAAAAACATTATAACTTGAGCCCAAGCTACACAATCGTGTAGAAGAAAGACTTAGTGATTTGCTCAGAGTGACGACAACTTTTGAACTTGTCAACTTTGCGGCTTGCAGTTGCAAACTTTGCGGCCATTCATCTAATGTCCAAGGATTAAAGGCCCATTCCTTCTCGACCTAATTGATTCCGCCAAGGAGCATTGCTGCGTGGAGAGGTACCCACAACTGGGAGCGGCTCGTGGGAGGCTGGGGGATTGCTCTGCGGATGCATTTCGTTTGGACAGGGGCCCGACAAAGACAATACGGAGGGTCTACGCAGTGCTTTGGCCCGTTTACGCAACAGAACGGGCCCCTCTCTTCCACAACAACCCACCCCGCCGGCCTCTCCCCTGCCCCTCGCCAGCACCCACGGCCCCGGCCACAGCCACGCCCACATCTCCGACAGAGGCGCCGGCAGGTGCAGGAGCTATTGCCAGGAATCGTCGAACTATCCCGCGGTCGCTGCCCAAAAGCCAAGTGAAGCGGCAAAGGGAACCGCAGCATCTGCAGGATCGGGAAAAGGACCTGCCGCCGACGGTAGCCACATCAATGGCCTCGCCCATCATGTAAGTACGCCTTCGCTATTCCTCAGATATGCAGTTCAAAAGCTCGCTCCCGGCATGAATATTTTACTTTACTTATTTGTACCTACCTATAAATCGGTAGTCTGATCTCGGGCAGGTAACCACCGCCAAAATGGAGCTGCTATTGCTGAAATACTTGTATCTTACACCTGACACCGCAAATCTCCTAATAGTGCACCGCAAGCTTAAACAATCCGAAATTGCAGCAATTTCATTCTGAAGTGTGGTGGGTGGAAAGAAGTTTATGAAAATATTAAAGTTTAATTAATGCAGGTGAATTTAGAAAAATTTAACAAAAATATAGAAATTATTGTAGAAGCTTTTATTGAATACACATTTTTGAATAATTGTCCTGACTTTTAAAATTTTAAAAAAAATTTTCTACTAGTAAATAAATGTATGTGCTTGTATTAATTCCTAATCTAGTTTTGAAAAATATACTTTTGCACGAATACAATCCATAGCTTTTTACTCTACGAGTCTTTTTAACGTCCGGTATAAATTAAGGAAAAATTGAAGTACCTTTATAAGTTCTTAATATTACTTTTCAGTTTGAAAAAATAGCTAAATAATGTTTTTAGAAAGATATGGAAATCATTTTTGAATAATATATTTAAATTTTTTCAACACTGGTTCTGCCTAGAGAAGATTTCAAATTTTTTTTTTTAGTCTTGGAAATATAAGTGTTGACTATCTTGAGTTATGGCATTTGAAAATAGTTCTTAAAGTTAAAAACAATCATTTAGTTTAAGGTGTTATTTTAAGGAGTACCACAATTTGAATAGCTTACACTTTATTTAAAAGCTTTATAATTTCCATTGTGGCTTTTGTAAAAGGATCTGCCACTAGGCTAGCCCATCAACTACCATTTCGGGCAGGTGCTAACAGTTCTCAGAATTTTTCGTGGCAGTCTCGTTATTGGTAATTCGATTTGCATTTACTTCACGTTATGTGGGTCGCAATTGCTTTCCGCAGGGTCGATCGAACAGGGTCAGCACGTGAAAAGGGCATTTCGGGAAGCAACGACACCGACTTAATTGCGTAACAACATTTTACCATTAGACTTAATTAAATCGTCAACTGAAAAGTGCGCTCGTTCCGAAGCTCCGAGATGTGGTGCTGAAAATAGGAAACTGCTGCTGAGGTTGGGACAAAACCAGCATGAAAATTGGAGACTCTTGAGTTGGATGCCACCGACAATATGCTGATGAATTTTAATGAGATTTTCGGTTTGCATTTAAAGGGATTTCATGCATCGGAGTTGCGACGCAGGCAGCTGGTTAATTAGGATTGCCTTGGCAAATACGGCCGCCATATTATTTTTGCGAACCTGGCCCACAGACAGCAAGTAGATGCTGATGTTGGCCCACAGATTGTGGGTGACATCTGCCGAGTTTGGCAAACAAATGGCTTGCCATGGCCAAAAACAGAGTATTTCTGGCCAGAAGCCATGCAGAAACTCTTGTCTCGTAGTGCAATTGTGTGGGTTCGGTTGTTATGGGCAAATATTGGACAATTTACCGAGCCTCCTGTTTATCAGGCCGAAACTTTGGTTATTGGAGAGCTCATTGGTCAGCCCAGTGGAAGGCATCCCTTTGCCAATTTATAAAGCTCTCAATTCAACCCGACCGAGAGGATTAGGGCAAAAATATTTGGCCCTGGGCTTTGGCCCTTTTGTTGTTGTTTTTTTAGCCTGCCAATTCAAATTAGAGTGTTGAGAGGATTTACTCGGCGGCTTAATTAAAAGCCATTATAATAATGTTGACGCTCGTCTGTTGTTACATTTCAATTGTTATTGCCGGAGAGTTGGCTAACATTTACACAATTTTAATTTGTATTCGTTGGTCTGAAAACGGGAGGTAGCTCTTTAAACATAATGAATATTGAGTGGCACCAAGGGTAAACTTAATGTGAGTGGAAAGGCCTGCAGAAAAGTTAAAGGTGCAATTTAAATTAGTTTACTACAACTTTGCTTTGCAATTAGTTTAATTATGTCGAATGTCGCACAAATTGCTAGAGTGCCATAATCTTCGAGTAAGTTTTGATATGTAAATAATTTAGGAATCGGGGCATGGTATCGCAACCAGCAATCAACCCTGACAGCTTGGCATTGAAGGACTATAAATACATGCAACTTGTCATCCGCAATCATCCTTGCCGCCTGCAGATTCGATGCGGGGAAGGGGTTGGTTTTTCGGTGTAAGGGGGTTTGGGTTGGGGTATCCCACAGCCATGCGTTGAGGACTCACTTTGAAGCCAGGTGGCTCGTCTGATTGATTTGATTGCCGTCACCTTGGTGGGACGACAGCCCAAAGGCTTTCACAACCGCACATATTCGGATGAGCCACTTTGTCTCGTCTCGTTTGAAGTCCTCGCCAGATGACAGATGGAGTCGCTTAAATTCTGATGTATTTTGCGGTAATCTTTCTGGTTCAATTTAAGCCACTCAACCTCAGGGGTAAATATTCATAATTTTTAATTTCCCCTAGAGCCATTCGTTTCCCATTAAGTTAAACGAAGCTGAATTTGCATATACCTACATATCCTGTGGCCCAATACTGGCCTTTCCCTGGGTAAATCGGTTAAAATGCAATTATCGGGGGAAGTTGCAATCCGATGGCACTCCCTTTCGGCCGGAAATCGAATTGATTTGCTGCATGACCAGGACAGAACAGAGCTGAACAGCAGGAGCCAGGTGAATCGAATCAAATCGAATCGAACCGAATCCATTCGACGATTTATGGCCATGAATTAAGGCTTATTGAATATGTATAATTTTGTACCGTATAACCGGTGGACCGGGACTCGCATAATTGACGGCCCATTAAACGGTAATGCAGAAAAATTGATGCCCCTTCCTTGGAGCTCGCTGCTCGTTTTCCTCGTAGGAAATTGAATTTGATAAACTTTTGAAAGGCAAGCGGGGGTTTCTAGGCAGCAATTAGTCCTTTTTAAAGAGGATGTCGATGGTGTGGGCTGGGTGGAAAACTCGACCAGAAGAAGCTACGTGCCATGCGTCAGCTGGAAAAATGGAAACCGAAAAGTTTGTTTATGCTTAGACTTTTTGGCCGGGTCCAGGGAGTCGAAGCCATCATATAGCTCTGGCTGCTGCCGCTGTCATTCAAGTGTTTTAATCAATTCTGATTTAATTTTACGCCCAATTAAGTGTGAAAAGCGTTTGATGTCGAGCACGGGTGCGAGAGGCAAATGGCAGCAGTGGGGATTCGGGTGGATCCAGCCCCTCCTCCGAGTTTTCCGAACAGTCACGCAAGCGTGAGCATTGAATATGCCATATGTGAGGCGGGGGGAGGCGCCCTTGTTCGCCATCCGGTTTCCAGAGTTCCCAAGTTATCTTGGGTTCGGGTTTCGGGGATTGGGGCTCAGGGTTCCGGGTTCATTTGATTCGCAGCACTCGCACTAGAATAAAGGCATTTTTAGATGTATTTCGATATATGTTTGAGTGCTCCAGCTGGAGACACACTCACCACCGTTGCTTGTGTATCCCTGCCGTGGCTTCAGCACTCGCTCATCCTCACCGCTCCTCGCTTAAGCCTCACCCCATTGCTCGCCCTCCTTTCTCTCTGTGTACCCTCTAACCATGGAACCACTTTCTTCTTACGACAGCGACAAAGACAGACGAGGCATATAGTTCCTCCAACCATTATCCAATAATCTCTATCAACAGCCACTGCCGAGCCGCTCCTGCAGCGCCAACTCCAGGCTAAGTCTGTTCGAGAGTTTGGTCTGCATGACTGCCGATCCCATATCGTTGTGCTTTTGGATTTGTTTGCAGGTAAACCCCATAAATATATTTTCTAAACACTGGTAGTCTTTCTTAAAAATAAAAAAAACTAAAACTAATATTCCTATTTGAAATTTATTAAGATATGCAATCAGAAATCAGTTCTTTTTGTATAATACTGAAAACTTGGCCTCATCTTTAAGTTTCTCTCTTGAACCCTTAAGTATTTTCAGTCCTTCAGGTGCCATAGCCCCACCACGAAAGGTGTGAAGTGAATTGTAGTCATAAAACCATTTTCTTGTACATTTACGATACCAAAGGACTCGAGACAGACATGGGGTAATATACGGTTGCCCAGAGGCGTTGACAATGTTTTCCCGCCGTACAATTTTCCCACACCTAAAAAAATTATATATAAAATAATAACACAGCATATGCAATTACTTTATTTAAGATTTTCATTTATTACTTTTTTAAATCGATTTTTGTACACATAAATTTCGATTTACATGAGGGTAAATTTAGGGCTTGGAGATTGTCGTAAGGCTATACACGTTCTATTGCCTGGTGTTTCACTTTCTTGACCCTCTTTCACTTTTCCAGAGGGTTGTGTTGGTTTGATAGTGTGTAATGTTCGTGTGCTGGCTTGCCTTTCAAAGACGGCTGCCTTTTCTGGACGAGTGTTTCGTAAGCTAATTAAAAATCGTATACCATTTCAGTCACAATTTCTCACTTTGCCTTTGTCCTTCTAATGAATGTGTGCGTGTGCGAAAACGTGTGATTTTGCGAGTGGGAAAGACGACTATACCTTCTACACTTGGAAATTTTAGCACATGATTTTCCGCTCACTGAAAACTACTCATTTTACTTTGAATGTGTGCTCTTGGGTGGTGGGTGGTGCGTAGGGATGAACATGCTGGGATTGCAGCAACTGGGTTAACTAATCTTAACTGGTAACTTAAAACTAACTGAATTGACACTGGCGTTACGTGGGCCGAACGTAACGCCACAGAACTCGTCCGCAGGTCTTTTAACTCTCCTTTCAGAGTTTAATTTGGATTTTAAAATTCGATTTTTTTTGTGGAAATTTTGCAACTTTTAATTTTTTTTCCTTATCCCATGGATATTTTCTCGAAAATGTTGCATTTAAAATAGAACGTTTGGAAATTCGTTAAGAAACAATTTTTATAGATTGTTTAGGCCGAAAGTAAAGTGGAACGCGTAACGAATAGATTCTTTTTGTTTGAACACCAAACGCTGGCCCTGATCGAAATCCCATTATCTTGGCCAGCGTTTCAGGCAGTAGGCAGATGATTTTGGAGACCTCTGCTACTGTATGCGTATAAAACTAGGGATATCGAGGGATAGTGAGATTGTGACAGGATCTAAAAACTAATTCCTTAGTGGTTGCGTTGCGCCTACGTCGAGCAATCGGAGGGCAATCCAAGGCGGCGAAGGAAGTGCCCCCGAGGATTGCCCCGTTTTCGTTGCTCGCGCCCTTTTTCGAGCTGTCTTTTTGAATACGGTTTTACGATTAACTTTCTTTTTTTTTTGTTGATCATAGCCCAGATTCGGTTTTCTCAAACGATCTGATCCCTCTCCACGCCGAGGCCCCGGTTTTCCGGACATTTTCTTTATGGGGAGGCTGAAGGTGTCAGTGTCGACGCTTGAGTCGGTGTCTCTGTGTGTGTTTTCTGTGCTGTCTGTGTGTTAATGGGGTGGTGATGGGTGGTGAGGTGGGTAGGTGGTTCGCACACACCCATCGCCGGGCACATCCCATGTTGCGAGCGGTACTTAGTAGACAATCAGCAGGTTGTTCTCATTGAATCCGGCCGAATGACCGGCGTTGCGTACAATGAAACAGGATCCGTCGAAGTGCATGCGCTTCTCGTTACGACTAAAATAGAAATGGGAAAAGGGAAGGTCATTAGAAACTTGGAGCTAATAATAAACTTGATTTATTATCAACCGAGCTAGGATAAGAAGTTTAAGAAGGAGATGTGATTCTCCTTTCCATTAAATTACTATAAAATTGAAAAAGATTGTCAATATCTTACAAACTAATTAAATTGCTCCACTAAATATATCAATTTAAAATATTATTTATTAATTATCTGAAAAGTAGTAATTTTAGGAAGAAGCAGTTACCGTTAAATATGATTCCCTTGAAGTTATTTTACGGTAGCTGCTCCTTTGATTTTACCGAACATTACCGATGAACCTCCCCTTTTTCCGAGTGCATCATTACTGGAAATAAGAAAGGATGCACTGGCGCACTTACCGGACGAACAGGTGGGAGGTCTTTCCCAGCGAAGCCGTGCAGTGGATGCCGGGCGTGGTCAGGGTGGCCGATCCGTTGCCAGGACTGGTGCGAATCAGGCACTTGTTGTGCTGGCGAGTGACCTTCACCAGGCCGTCGGCCGCCTGCGTGATGCGGAATCCATTGATGTCGTACACCTCGGTACCGTCCTCGGCGCAGTTGTAGGTGGAATTGGCGATTACGTCGTGGGCATCCGACATGAAGGATGGGCCGTGCCGCGAGTCGCTGCGGGGATGCCGTGGGGGTGTTAATTAGAACGAAAAGCTGTCGAAATTGATTTTGGCAATCTTTTTTGTGCCCCACTCACTCGTAGAACACCGCCAGAGTGTAGTCCTTGGTCAGGTCGGTGAAGGTGTCGGTGGTGGTGCGGGTGCCAGCTGTGTCCACCAGATAGATGAGGGCACAGGACTCGCTGGTGAAACTGACGCCCTTGTACCACATTTTGGCATAGCGACTGAAACAAGGGCAAAGGGTGTAGCGAATTTTATTTAAACTCAGAGCGAAACCTGAACTTCTGCTTGAAAAAATCAAAAACGCCGGGAAAAAATAAAAAAAAAAATCCGAAAAAAAGCGAAACTTGAACTTCTGCTTAAAATAATCGAATATGCCAGGGAAAAATATAAATAAAATCCGAAGAAAGCGAAACCTGAACTTCTGCTTAAAATAATCAAATATGCCTCGAAAAAAATAAATAAAATCCGATAAAAAGGGAAACCTGAACTTCTGCTTGAAATAATCAAATGTGCCGGGGAAAAATATAAACAAAGTCCGAAAATCATGGTAATAAATATTTTAGATGGTCGTTATCAATCGATCAGTTTATCATGCCAAAATCAGTTTAGTAGTATGCCAAAACAATAGTTAGTTTGCATTAAGATTATTTAGTGACAATTGTCTAATCTTCATGGGGTTCAAAACCAGTTTCTTAGCAAAGAGTTCCCCCATCTCACTGAGCAAAACTTACACAAAGTTATTGGCCTTCATGCCGTCATAGGTGACGATCTCCACCTTGGAGCCGCTCTGCAGGATGCGTCCATTGGGGTGGATGAGGGCCGAGTTGCTGCAGTTCCGCGACAGGGCGACGGCCACCATGCTGCGCTGGTTGAGCACGCGCACCGCCTTGTCCAAGGTCATATCAATGCTAGACAGTGAAAAAAAGGTTCTTTTTAAGGGAAACTCCTGCTTAAGAAATCCTAACTTACCGAACGCCTTCGCGCAGGCGCAACTGGATGGTGCCGTTGGTCATGGCAATGGGTCCGGATCCAGGACACGGCGGCGGAGTGTTGTTATCAAAATCGAAAGTACGCGAGCTGACGCGACCCAGGGCATAAGGTGGTGGCGGCATCGGCGAGGGAAACTGCTGGGTGTGGTGGGCCTGGGGCTGGGAATTCAGAGTTTACCTCTCCATTATATAAAAAGAAATAAGTTAAAAAACCCACCAGGCAATAGGATCCCTCAGGCTCATAGCCGTAGCCCGAGTTGAAGCGTCCTGTGAGGCTCTTGCCGCTGCGCGTGATGTTCCCGGCATCCAGCTCCAATCCCACGGCCTCGAAGCCAGCATTCACCTGCGGAATGGCGCCGAAGGCCGAGTGGGGGGCGGCATGAACGCCCAGGTGCATGAAGGGGCGGCCACTGCTGTTCGTCTGGCTGGAGCACTCCTTGGCCAGGACGGCCGTGTTGGTGCCCACGCTGGCGCTGTTTCCCAGGCTGCTGCTGCTGCTGCCGCGCTCCAGGCTGCGCTTCATGCCCCCAGCGCTCAGCGACAAGCTGCTCAAACGAGGGCCCAGCGGGCTGTTCATCGACGGCACAAGGCGCATGGTGGCTTGCTGATATACCGTATAGCAAGGGGATTTAATTACTTGTTATAACTCTCAAATAAGTATAAATAGTATCAAGGTTAACAAAGTAAAAAGTAACGCTTCATTGACTACCTGTTACCCCATAATGACCTCCACATTAGCTTTTCCTATTGCTAGATCCATATAATCATTTTAAATCAATATGATTTATAAAATTTAAGTATTTTAAAATATATTTTGGTAGAATTAACTTTTCTTTATGGCATGCAAAATCGTTAGCATTTTTAATTGAACAACAGATAATTTTCATTGCATACTTAAACGAGTTTTATTATTGAGAAATGTTCGTATGGATCTCCGAAAATGTTATGCTTCAAAATGGCAAGTTATTCTGGGTAAAAATACTTGTATATTAAGTGGCAACTGCATTTACCCACGATATAATATTTTTGGAATAAACTCCAAAAGTCACTGTGTGGTCGGTTTCAGATTCTTAAATTGGGCTTACTTTTTTAATACCAAAACATTGTTCTTTAATAAAGACAGCAAATGATGAACATAAAGTGGCGATATTTTTGCTTATAAAATACTACCGAGCGTAAAATTTTATTTTTGTCTAAAAGTGACATATGGGCACTTCCAAAAAAAAGTCCACCAAGCCAAAAACCTTGATACTTGAATAAAACATATTTTCACATGATTTTGCCCCGATATTAGTTTCTAATTAGTTGGATACTGAGCTTTACTACAAATTTGGAGTATAGTTTGATTATTTTTATGACAAACCCCACCAATATACGCAAAAATCAGTTTTTGGCTATTTTTTTGTTATTTTTTGGACCTGTCTTCTTTTGTTAATTTATCCTATAGGAATGCTAATATGTGACATTTTTCTGTACTGAATGCTTCATTCACATACTAAACTATTAAGTTAAAAGCAAAACATCCAGCAATTGAGAGATAGAGGTAAAGAAATCCGCTTTACAAAACAGTCGGAAAAAATGTCCCGAGCGACATGTCCCGAGCGAATGTGGTTGAAACGGCAAAAAAAAAAAAAAACGGCAAGAATTTTTGAGTAAAACCAAAAGCATTTCACAGCGACATGTTTGAACAACATTCTAAAAAAAATCGCATTGAAATATTCCATCAGAATTCGCTAATTTCTGGTGTTGTATGAACTTCCCCGAAATCCACTTCTATTTTTGTCCCGAGCGAATACGGCAGTTTTTTACCGATATCTTAAAAACTAAAAGTGGTACAAAATCAAGATTTTTACCAAAAATAGAGCTTGGGAAGAGTGAAAAGAAAAGCCCATAATTAAAATTAAAATCCATTGTTTTACAATTTTTTTTCAACTTTAAAGGTGTGCAAATGTCCCGAGCGACATTTTGGAAGTGCCCATATGCCAAAAAAAAAAAAAAAAAATATCACCCCAATAAGAGGGTGGCAATCCTGGAGTGATAATTACTTTTGCGAGGCAACCCTACTCACCGGCGACGGATTGTTGTTGGTGAAAACGGAGCGCTGGCGTACCCCATTGGGAGCCTTGGTGGGCGAGCGAAGGATGTTGTTGATCTTGTCGTTCATCTGGGCGCGCGAGAGGAAGTCCTCGGCGTTGAAGATGCCCACACGGCCGCTCTTGGGGGTGGTCAGGGGGCTGGGGGTCAAGGGAGCCGGCTCCTGGGGCTGGGGCTCATCGCAGCCGGAGTGCTGGCACTGCACCTCCTTGGTGCTGCTGCTCTTGGGCGAGACGGAGTCCTTCGCGTCGGTAACCATCTTCTTCAGCTTTCGGATGTGGCCGGGACTTACGGGGATGTTCAAGGGATGGTGGGCAGTGGAGGTGGTTACACTGTGTGCTTTTGTGGATCTGGGCCTGGACTTTGGTATCTGGAGATCTAAACGAGAACGGCACACGCGCGTGCTGGCTGGCGAAAATCAAGTACTTTGCTCGACACGGAACACAACGACTCAATGAGAGGAATTTAATTTTTATTTTTTATTACTTTTCAAGACCTCTGCTCGCTGCGACAATTTTCGAAAGAATGACTCGCCTCATCTGCCGATTGAAGGATGTGCCACCGAAACTGACAGCCGGTCGCCTACCTGGTTTTTCGATAGGTGAAAGTGCGTTGGCATCGAGTACTTTCCCTTCGGTATGTGAAAACCCTAAAATTCAGAGCTACCGTGAAAGTTCATCGTATATCCGATTATTGGTGCATACTTTTAGACGGCAAAAAATTGAATAACGCACTTAGTGACGGACGACAGTGTTGAATGAGTTTTGAACTGCATCCGGCGAAGGGCTTTTAGTGCTCGGAAAACGAAGTTTGCTAGCATAAATGTCAGGCCGGCGCCAACTTAATTGAATTTGGAAATAGTCTTCAACCAACTGAAGCGTTTCAGGATATTGCAGCTCCTTTTTATACACAATTTCTCTTTAGCTGGCTTAGGCTTTAAGACCTATTGGGAAATTGCATTTACTGCGGAGGAAACTAAAAGAAAGAAATTGCACTCTTCCTTATTGAACTGGTTCAATGCCGGAAAGGCGATGAAAAATAAGAGTGGGAAACTTTTGAGGAGCCGTTACGAAATGTCAAGAGTCAGGTAAAAGTTATGTTCGAACGTGGGCATCTATCTTTCCCCCAGGTGCGCAACAATTTTGAAGAAAAGATATCAGTTCAATTTAAATATAAAAGTAACTTTTAAAAGAAAATTTAGTATAAAGTCTCAATAAGCATGACAATTTTCGATATTTTAGATTTTTTGACAATATTAATTTGATAATATCGATGTTTTGAATGGAAACCGAACCAAATAAATATCGAGAAATAGAAAACTGCCGATATTTTTTTAAGCTCTTGGTCTTAAGGAGTTCTAAAATTTCCGAATTGCATTTCAAATGCGTTTGTTTTTTTATTTTATCACAGTTTTCTTTTCGATTCAGTTATTCCATCGGTTTTCGCACTCTATCTACGCCCGAATGTTGACATATTAGCCACAATTTTGGCAAACCCCCAAGGTCGTTTTAGTTTGGCTTTAGCTCGTTGTGTTTTTCGGTGGGTTCACCAGCTCACCTTCAGTGTGAAAGGACCATGAACTTCCGAATTGATTGTGTGTTTTGGTCCAACTGTCAACTCTTTCCGCTCCCATGATTGATTTTGGCCCTCGTTTTAGTTTTTGCGGCGATTAGTTCGCTTAATGAGTGCATTGACTCCTTGCATTTGGCCATCGGCCCACGCAGATCTAAATATATTGTCACATTCGCCATCATTTCTATTTCAATTGACGCGTTTATTTAACCGTCCGACAAGTTTGAATTTTATTTTTGGCACCGTGGGGTCATTAAAATTCAGCCACTGCAGCTGCATTTTCACCCACGCATCGCATTGACTCAGTTTTGAGCACTGAGCAGCGACTGAAAGTGAAAATGCTTAACGTATTTATAGCAGGAATGCAATTGCATATATGCATATTCATATGCATTCAATGAAATACGGAAACTCATTTGTAAAAAGCACCCATGTCTTTTTTTGTTTTGTTTTTTTCGTTGTCACTTTCGCCAGCCGCAAGCGAACAAATTGGTTAACCTCCTTTTTCAGTATTTATTGTGTTCGCATTGTGGAAATTTTGGCAAAAATGCAAATTTGCCGACAGACAGGGAAATTTCAGTTGGTAGAATAGTTAGCTGCGGTTGGCTTTTAGTTATAATTGCGGTCGCTTTGTTGGCTTGGAAACATATTTGCCAAATTTTAATTAGCTCAAAACTGTGCAAATGCACTGTAGACATGGAAACGGGGGAAAAATCATTTGCGAAATGAAATGCAGTTTTCTATTATTTGCCGGAGCTCATTAAAATGTGGAAAACTATTTTCGTCTGAGACTCTGCCCAGTCAGTGAACTTTGGCGCAGACAAAGATGATAAAATCCATATATAAACAAGAGATACTCATAGAGAAAATGCATAGGACTCGGCCTGTGTTGCAATCCCTGACGTCACTGTTGTTGGCTATTGTAGTGACCACTCAGATTGATGAGAAACTTATGGCATAATTGAGATGGCTTTTAAAATCCATTTGTTCAACGCCTCCTTCCTTATTAAATCCTTAGCAATTTTCATTAAAAACAATTAGCGCCCGCGACGCCACTTGCCTTTGTCGATTCAGCAGCAGGACGTTTCCCGGGGGGCAGGGGGTGGTCGGGATGGAAATTAATTGATTGTCAAGATGAGGCAACGGCAACCGAGCTGTGTAAACAAATAAATGTGTCTGGTCATTCAGCGGGAGATCTTTGTTGTCGCCTTTAGATGATAATGCCACCCGCTGTCAGCTATGAAATTACACTCCCCCACTCGTTCAGTCACTACATTATGCATATAGTATATATCCAGATATTCCGAGTCCGATGTAGCCACATTAACGGATCTTGGCCGATTGGCACGCGACGCTAAAAGCCTTTCGGCTTGGCTTCCATCAATATTTTGGCATTCCCGGCATTTCGCCGTCGAATTCCTTGGCGACTCTGCTGTTTACACAATCCCCTTGGCAGGGCTCAAGAGAGAAAATCCCGTCCCCCGGGTGATTCACGGGGATTTCCTGGAGACCAAAAAACCAAAAACACCTACGCGTGCCTGAAAAATTATATGAAAACAGATTGAAAGGTTGGTCAAATTGGTCTGGGGCTAAAAGTCTGCCGACTGCCGCCGTTTGACGTCATCGGCTCTTAGGCACTTGCCAAAAAATCTATCCACCTCCCCAACATCTCATATGGTCTATAGACTATACTATATAGTCCATCGAAAGGTGTGCTAGGCGTTTCAATTTTTTTTCCGCTATTTTGGCTGGGCGGGTTACACTTTCGCAAGATTTAATGTGTGCTGGCGCTTTGCCCGCGGTGTCGGTCCGCATTTCACGCTTCATTGGCGGGCAAAAGTGACGTTGTCGCGTCTGCTTTGATTTTGATAAAATAGGCCAAAGTGTTCATCAATAATCATTTCGGTAAAGATCGGTGAGCGAAGCAATTATTTTTACAAAATTTACACAGAGCTCGCCAACGGTCGCGAAAGATAAGTTGGCCCAAGCAAAGCAATCAATTTTTTTAGAGCATCCTTCACACATCAAAATTTTGGTCGAGTGGGCGGTTAAATGGCACCGTTGTTGTTCTACTTTTTAAAAAAATATTTTGTCATCAAGTTCTAAGCGATAAGCAAAGCACGTGATTTTTACAACACTTTTTAATTGGCAGAAGTGGAGTGAGAGCTATCGATTCCCTGCAGAATTTTTGGATAGTATTTTTAGTGGAACCTATTAAAATATTTGTTATTAAACTCTGAATTTAAGACAAACATTTACAATCTTGGAAGTCTTCACAATTTTTTAATTTTTGAAAAGTTTTATATTTAATTTTTCTGAAAAGGAACATTTTCATTTTGTTTTCAAAATTATGTCCTTTATTTAATTAGTTTTAATTACTCGACTCAAACTTTTATTTTTCAAGAAAAAAGCGCAAAAACCTTGCGCAAGCCCTAGAACATTCCTCATATTTTATTCATTGGTAACCCACAAAGAAAGCAACTGTACAAATTGTATACAACAAAAAATGGGGGAAAAAGCCAAGAAGATGCAGACGTGCCTCTTGGCAGCTACCACGCCCACTTTCCCGAAAGTGTTCCACTTTCTCAGGTTCATTCGGGGCCCACCTCTCTCCAAGATTCCCGAGAAGGCATAAATCAAGTGACTTTCACTTTTGCCTGTTCCGCCTTCGCCTGTTTACCGTTTTTGCTGTTGTTTTTGGCGAATATTAATTTTTTTTATCTGTATTATTATTGCGGGGAATTTTGTCAAAATGAATTTTATAACACATGCCCGCTTTTATTTGATGAGACGTATATCTATAGATGCGGATAAGTGTCGGTGATTACTTATCATGAATTGTTTTCGCTTTCTTCCTTTTTTTGGGTGGATAAAACTTTCGGTTTTATAGGACAATATCCCCCGCGTTGGAAACAAGGTACCCAGAGACAATTACAAATGCATTGGCAATTGCAGACAAGGGTTGCATAGTTTCCGGCACGCATTTCGCTCGCTTTGTGCCATTATTTCATTTCCAATTCCCGGAGAGGGAAAAGAGTCGGCCAGACTCGCTGTCCAGACGGAAAAGTTCAACGTATACCCATGGAATCTCAACAAAATCGGGACGAAAAAGGGGCCTAGAGCCATTACTTAATGGCAATTGGCCTATAGGAAAAATATGGCTCAGCAATCCAACGCGAACCGACCCACAGAAGACATTAAGCGCCTAAAATGTTGTCCATGTGGACTATATTTTGTCTTCAGTCCCCTTGAATTTAACATTTCTGGTAATGGTTACCTAAAAAATGGCTAGTGGACTAGATTTTTAGGTCAGAACTTACCTAAATATTAGGTATTTAAAAAAAAGCTAGGATTTTTACTATTGATAGTAACATATTTGATTATTTTAATTGCCTTATATTGTAAAATTATTGCGGCACAAAGCAAATATTATTATCTTTCTGAAGTAAAACATTCACTTTTATTTTGTCCTCGGTGGGAATCGATCCCGGGTTTTCTGCGTAGTGTTAAGAAGGTAGGCTTTGAACAATTTTTTGTTTCGATTGTAATTTTAATTTTTCAAAGCCTACTTTCGGAACAATAACAAAAACGATTTGTAGGCCTATATGAAGGGACGATGGTAAATTTGAGATTAATATATGTGCATAATATCAGTGAGTAATTGAGTTGTGCAAACTTTCAGCTTAAACATGTAAGAATTGTACTCATTGGAATTTAGAATAGGGTTTTTCTAAATTACCTGCATAAAAAAATATATATCTGGAAATGATGAAAAGGTACCAAAATGTTTCTTGGGTAAATTAAGTTGATTTTAGAGATGGACACTTTTCGATCACTAAGTTTCTTTTATAGGATGAAGAAGACAGTCCCGATAAAAAATTTCAAATAATTAAAATTCATACTTATTGAACAACCAAAAAACTTAAGAAATTTATTTACTAACTCCGCCAGTACATATTTAAAAACGTATTAAGTTGCACGTTGTTCTGATAAGGTTCTCGAGATATACTAATTTGAAGTTTGCGAACATTTTTTAAGTCTTCTGGACTTCAAAAATTTGAAGCGCTTACAAATGGACCCAAAAATTTCAAAAAAATCACAGATGTTAACCAAGTTAAACTCTAAAAAGTAGAGTTTGAAGGAAATCTAAAAGTCCATATGCTAATATTTTTAGAGTAACCCATTACCCATATCTAAATTGAAGTTTTTTCAAATGTTGTCCCATTTTAGTTAATTTTCTTTTCTCTGTGTAAAGAATGGGAAAGTAAAATTCCCCAGCTCTCTGTAGGGGCTGGATAACTGCAAATAGGAACGAGGAAAAAGTGAACGGCAACCGCTGCCCATTTTCGAGAGTCCCCATTGTTTATGGTCCGTTGCGGTGGCCACTGTCAAGTGAACATCTTCCACCGACCATTTTCGACACCCACATTTCACCGGGACGCGAGCACCTCAAACTCAAACACTGGAGGAGGAATGCTTTCAACTTTTTCCGCGGCGCTGTCTTGTTATTGGGATCAAGTCAATATTTGTCGAGTAAAAATTACTTCCTGTGGCATTTCTTAAGTACCCTCATTTTCTTTGGGCGCTCGGCCGCCTTGATGTTTGCATTCCTGCTGCTTTCTTAATTTAAAAATTGCAAACAATTGTTTGTACAACTTCACGGGGCCGAAAACGTTTTAATTAGGGAGTGCTCCAAATTTTTGGCGGCCCAAGAATTTGTCATCTTTTAATGAAAAAAGGTTTTTTTATCATTTATGTTTATTTAATAAACATTTTATGTCTTTGTTTAGTATACTACTTGCGCCAATAATGTAACGAATGGTATATTTGAGTCTTACTAAGTCTTGTATCACAAGGTTTATTTGGAGTCATCGTAAAATCTTAAAATGTCACCAGCTAGTATATTTTATTTGCGTTCATATCTTATCATTTTTTCTGTATCCTATGGATCTTTGTTTATTTATTTCTAGTAATACAGATAGAATTCTTTACATTTTTTGAAAGTCGTACTTATTTCATATTTATAGGTTTTTTTTTGGTTATAGTCTTACTTTGTTGAGAAAACTGTCTAATATAGGTAGGTACTACAAAATATTAAATGTAAGGTGAATTTGCCTCATAATTCCTATATTAAATAAGATGACATTATATGCATTATACCAAGATTAAAGCAAAACTTTGGTGCAAAATCGTCCCCCAACCGCCTTGTTAAATATTCAAATATAATTATTTTCTAGAGTTCGTGGAAAACGTGTATAAAAGCCGTGCTTCATTCAATATCATCACTATGGACGGCAGTCCATGTAGTGACGAAGCGCACCAGGAGAGTGTGCGAAGGCGACTACTATTATATAGCCGCAAAATTGAAAATCTGCTGTGATAGTCCGATCGTACCATGAGTAATACACCAATCGAAAGGTATTGCAAAACCTGGGATCGCATACCAAGACTTTAAGAAAATCAAATTGGCTTGGAGGGAGGGTGAAAGTGAAAAAGTGAACTTTCGAAATTTGAGCTGTTGGGGCGGTGGGGATCCCCCGCGCAATGTTTTAGTTGTATTCCTTTTGGGAATACCCGTCGAATGATGGGTCATTTGTAAAAATCCTACGTTCCGGTGGCAAAAGTTTAGCCAAAATAAGATTTCCTTCTTCTTCCCAAATTGAAAATTTAATTCTGTTTGTCAGCCCTTGTCAGTTTGTCAGTTTGTCCAAACATGCTTTCTTAAGTTTTTAAAAATTGCAATATGACTTAATCCCATCGATATAAAAAACTTTTGTACACCACTTTTGGAAAACTCACTGTTTGGCGGAAAACAGTTTTAATTAGAATTGGAAACCGTGAACTTTATAACTAAAGTTACAGAATTGTGCGGCACCTTGAATTTGTCAGGTATTTTTAATGCTATAAACGCCTTCTATATGCAATTTGTGTAAATGTAATAATTAAAAAGATATGAACAAAGACAATTTTTAAAAACTTTTTTTGGTTTATCTTTTATGTTTATTTAATAAACAGTTTAGATTTTTTTAGCTTTTTTCGCTCTACTTGCCCGCCAATAATGTCTAAACAGAATGGTATATTTAAGTCTATTACTTTTTAATCACATGGTTTAAAGTTTTTTTTTATATCGAATATAGCCCTTATATAGCGCTCGAACAATTTCCTGTATTAAATATTAGGTAACCAGGGTCATGGTATCAGTAAATTTTACTTATGTGTTACATCATATCTTTATCATATTTTGTCTGTGGGGATTATTAATGGCTTAAGTTTATTTAGTTTTTAATGCTGTAGATAGTATTTTTAATACTTTTTTTAATTTGTTAAATAAGTCGCTTACAATTATTATACCAATTTAGATTAATGCAGGTGTTAGCTCCTTTGAGAGCAGGTAAACATAGTAATACTTTGCTGAGAAAATTGTCTAATATAGGTACTACAAAATATAAAATTTAAGGTGAATTTGTCTCATAATTCATATTTAAAATAAGTTGACATTATATGTGTACCAAGATTAAAGCTTTGGTGCGAAATCGTGTCACCAACAGCTTGTTAAATATTGAAATATAATTATTTTCTATTTTATAGACTTGTTTGTGGAAGGAACGTGTTTTTTACCTGTAAAGCCGTGTTTTTGCATCCAATATTCCAAAGGACGTGTGCCATTTGGCGATTGAGTTTCGATTTTTGTATATTTGACCGGAATGAAGTTTAACAGGAAAAGCAGAGGAGGCGGAACGGGGGGCACTTGTCATGTCAGTGGGGGCGGCAGACTTGGCTGTTGTCCTTGTTGTTGTCGCGGCCGTTTGTTTGCCTGTCAGTTGTTTGGTTTTTGCCGGCGTGTTGGTATTGGCCAAAAGCGCCAACTTCAGCGCCGAAAGCGTGTCAATCGAAACTGGAAACTGGCGGGCGTTACACATGGCAACTTTAATGCGTGGAGCTGGGCAAACAAAAATTCAAATGTGTACTCTGTACACTGTACACAAAAAGTCAAGGACCCCAAAAGTGCTCAGATTTATTTGGCACAACTCAAATGAGGCAAAGCAAACAGCTGAGCTGATTGCTTACCCGATTTATAACCGGATCGGGAGGCCAAACAAGACATCTCTAACTGGCCTGCATTTTTGGCCCAACCTTCGGCCGAATTACACTTGCTCAGACCAATTTGCACTTGAGTCTTTGTGTTTCGTTGCGTAAAGATGTCAGCGAATCCATTAGACACACGTAATTAGCGTCCCCATAGAGTGCCATTAGCTGGAATTCATAGTCGCTCTTGAGCGCGTGGACATGCCGGAAGTGACGGCGACCTTTGATCCAATGATGTTGGCCTAAAAGCCTGGCGGTCGCTGCAATTACGCTTGTGGTTTAATGGCGAGCCTGCTCCATCCTGCATCCCAGATCAGAGTCACGCAAAAGTTTGTCAACGCCTGCAACTAGCCTCAAACCGCATCAATTAGTTCGTGTGCCCAGGAGTAATAGCCATGTAATTGGATATCGGTAGAGCTTTTACTTTATCTGGCTGTAACCCTTGGCTTTATCACAAAAGGACTTTAAATAAAGCGGTTAGATTTGAAAACTAAATAAAAAGCATACCCCTGTCAAGTGTATCTTAATATTTACACACTCATGTTGATATTTTCGTGCCTTATTTAAAGATACTTGAATTTTAAATATTTTTTTTTCTTATAAAAAGAAGTTCCAGAAGGGTAATGCTTTAAAAAGTATTAAATTTATAGTTACTTTTTTTATGTTACTCTATCTTTATTGTATTTCTTCCTACTCGATTTGAAGATGTTACTCATTAGGTTTTAAAAAGCTCGATAAGTCAGGGTATTCCAAGTATTCATGTTCTCATGAGTGTTTCGATTTCCAACACTAATTGCCAAAGTGCAGGCATAAGGAATACGAGGAAAGGCAGTGAAGTGAAAGACAACCCCTGGCCAGCGTTTTTCCCTGGAACTATGGCATTGTGAATTCCATTGGTTGAGTTCTTCACCCGTCCATTGTGTCCATTGCATTGGTTTTTTTGGCAGGAGGTGTAATAAGTGCGAGTGGTTTCATCTGGCCTGTTTCCATACAGCATCTGCAGGGAAAGAAATTCAAACCTGATTATCTCTATAGAATACATTTATAAATATTTATCACAAAAAATCCTAAACCTGCTTATTTTATATGCAAATAGAACTTACCACCGGCTCGTCCTGGCAATCGCGCAGAAAGGACATCACCTTGCTCGAGTTGCGCTGCAAATGGGAATGGAAATAGTGAACTCGCATTACAAATAACTGGGTGACTGATTAATGATACTCGCCCCGACCCGCCACCAATCATCGCACTTGGCCACAAGAGCTTATTTGCATTTCGTATCTGCGAATCGAATTTGCATTTGCCCTCGTTTCAGCGGGCAAAGTAATTAATGCCCCAGGTCCCAGGTCCCCCAAAAAGGGGGGCAATGCAGAATTCAGAGTGCAGAATGTAGAATGGGATGTGCGGCAGCGGCACCGAAGCAATCTATGGCCCCAAAGCTAATGCGTAAACAAAGTTCACACTAGGGACACACGGAGCGAATGGATACGGATGGGATGGCAAAGTTTTAATTGCATTGCAGTTCGCCGGCGAATGGTTCGCATTGCGACTAGCATAAGTTTCAAAGCACGCCCTGAGCTGGCCGACGTCTTTTGGGCGTCTTTGATCCCCCCAAATTCAATCAGCCTGTTCGGCCCGCCGTCTAATGAGGCACTTGCAAATTTTGAAACCTCATCTGGTTATGTAAAATCCGTGAGCGGAATGGGGCTTAAAAGTAGGCGACAAAGTTGGCTTTGTGGGGGTGTAAGCTGGCCTAAGCCTTCCATGGGATTGCGGAGTCGATGGGTGTCTGCTACATATATACTGTATGTGCTCTTTATACGCCCTTCTGGCTTTCCATTAAATTATGGTAATGGATTTTTTATGCACTCTGTTTTCGCTTCTTGTGCTTATTTTACGCCCGCTTTCGCCAACGTTCCTGGGCTCCTTTGATTTGAGCCGCTTACTGGTAAAAATTAAAGCCCGACGAGCTGCGTCAATACTGTGAAAATAATCAAGGAGTGGAGCTTCATCAAGCGTCTGCATTTGATTGCTGCACACAAAAAGGAGACTTAACCCTCTGAGGATTATTCGCTTTTGTTTGAAATCAAGAAATTAAATGTCTAGTAGTCGGGTATTAAATTGAAATTTTTTTCCCCCACAATACTTAGACCTTAAGAAATATTTAAAATTTAACTGTGGGTTTTCTAAGTTGAAATTGAGTTATATTTCTTAAAAAATGTTATAAACGGAACGGAAGAATAGTAAATAATAACTGAAAATGTCTACAAACTGAAAAGGCGACTTTAACTACTTTCGGCGTTAAAGCTCACATTGCTCATACGCCGCGTGGGCCGTCTGAAATTGCAGCTCAGGATTCAATTAGTCGAAGTAGAGAGCTGGCACGATTTAATGGCTGCCTTCATTTTTTTACTTGCTTGCTTGTCCTTTACGTGAGAGTCGCTAATTTCAGAAAAGGGGCGAAACTTTAGCTGTAGCAACATTTAGCCAAACAAAGTTGGGCGATGCATAAAAATCAAGCATTCCATGTGCTACTTTGTTGCCGCAACAGCTGCGCTGCGGCAGCTCGCAATTGGGAGTGTGTCTGCAGATGGCTGCCGGCATACGTGAAGAGTTAAATGCTCCGCAATTCCCGTTCGCCGACGCTCGGGAACATTTGCGGCACGTTCCACGGGCGTTTTACGACCAAAAGGGAAGTTTTTCCGGCTTCCACTAAATTTCAAAACACACAGACATGGAAGGAAAGTGGGTATTTGTACCTACACACAAAAAGAATGACTTGATATCAAATGATGATCGATTTGATGTTATATGGTATCACTTTGACTTGATATGCGGGCACCTCAATTCGATATGCTCGAAATGTAACAAAACTAATGTAATGCAAGAGCAGAAATTTACCATACGCATATCAATTTGACTGGCGTGTGTTTTTTTTGGGTGTATATGTACTCTCTTTTGTACTCCCTATCCTTTTAAGTCGTTATACAACTAATTCTTTTAACTGCCAAACGATTAAGTTTTTAATAATTTCTCCAATTGCAATTCTTCATCTTCCAAAATAAAATAGTTGTATCTCTGTGATTTCTTGCAACGTCTCTAAGCATTTATTATAAAATATAGATATTATTTGATATCATCAGATTACGCACACTTACCAATAGTTCTACGCGCATCGTCACACAGTATTTTTTTGTGCAGTTGATCACACGGACTGCACTGGCGTTGTTCAAGCAAGAGCTATCACTGTACCCATCCAAATAGCTGCAGGCATAGCTATCGAGCGCTGCAATATATATACGATACATAATAGAGGATTGAACGAGGTCATGACGTTGCCTTTCGTTTTCGTTTCGTTGTTTTCGAATTTAAATTTGATTTTGATGATCATCGTCATGATCGTGTTGTCGCTGTGCTTTTCTTAGAATTTATTAATAGCCACCCCCCAGAGCAGGGGATGCAATAACAACAAACATTAGCAGCTATAAAAACACAATAATTAATTGAATTAAAGTGAGAATTTTGGCAGCAGACTTTCAGTCTATTTGCCAAGTGGCACGACAACGTCCTCGACATGTATCGCCGGCTATATCTATCTATATGCGTATACGAGAGGCACATTCTATATTTGAATCAGCCTTTTGTGTAATAACAATGACGTCAATGGCCCCACCAGTGGCCACCGCTTCGGCCCGAGATGTAGATGTGTAAACGGATTGATGACACGAGACTTTTCGGCCGACCCTCGACAATGGTACCCGTCAAAAGAAAAGGCATTGAGATTGGGACTGCGAGTGGTGGGGCCCCAAATCCTCAGCTCTTACCACGAACACTATTCTATTTCTGTTGCGATTTTGCATTATGAGTTCTGCATAAAAGTGTAACCGCGGGCATCGTTCTTGGCACGCTTCGATGCGGTTCGCGGTATTCAAAAGATAGAACATTGTCTCACCTCGAGTATATCAGTCACAATGGGCTCGAATCGCCGAAAAATTCAAATTATTTTATGGGATATTTGCTCTAAATAAATGTCGTGAATGGGAATTTTTGCGGTTACTCATTTGAATAAAAATAATTGGTCGAATGCAAGCGATTCAACAATATTTGTGGACAACTATCTGATATTTGCTCTAAATAAAATTGATAGAAGTTTGGCAATCAAGCGGGTGAATCATATACATACATTTAATTAGCATACTCCTAATGTTTTTGTTCAATATTACCTTTAAATAAATTTAAAAATTGTCATAGCATTTTGGGCTACCAAAGTTAAGTGACATTAAAATAATATGAGACAGAAGATAAGAGGTTTCCATAAATATAACAAAAGTCCTTTGCAATTTGCATAAATGTAAATATAAATTCTGAAGACAGCCATTGAGCCTGAGTGTCCTCAGTTCGCTGACCCTTAAGGTTTTTAAGGTTTCTAAGACCTCCCATTCCACTGTGCCTGGAAGCACTCGCAGATCTTTGAATAATGATTTGTATCATCTTTTGTGAGGCAATCAATAAATTTGAATGCGGTCACTGGCGAGTGACGTCGACAGCTGAAGTCGACAAAACCGAGCGAAGTGAACCGAACCGAACTGAATTGTAAGAATAGAACGGAAGGCACAGTTCTGTGAATCAAACGGGTGTATATGTCCATGTCGAGAAAAACTGAGGGAAAATGAGTGCCAAGAACATTTCAAATTCACCTGATTTTTCTCGCTAAATTTCCGCTGAGTTATGAGTCGTCAAGACGGCAATTTCGCAATAAAACAGCTAATTAAGTTAAACGAAAAACGACCTGCTAAGCGAGCACTCAGTGCCACTCAGTGGGTAAGGTTAGGACTGGGATTGCGATGGGGATTGGGTGGGTGGATGATTGAAAACGTAGCAAGTAGGAATACCGTTCGAGAGGGCTGCTGACATTAATACGACACAGAGTCCTGTGAAGAGGGCGGATTTCGACAGTCCATGTGGCGGCTCCATGGCGCTGACTTCTATTGAGATTCACGCTCTGACAGCGATTCCAAATCCGGAATCGTTGGCCTCGACGGCTGGCACTTGACTGGCACTCGAGTAGAGTTCGATAGTCGTCCGTCGCGATTGATGTTTGACACATGGTGAACAAACAATGCGCGATATAAGTACATACACTCCTCCTTATCGGGGCAAATACACAGAATGCAACTTTATTTGAGCTGTAATTAATGGAACTATTTCACCATTCTCCTCTCTTACAGCCCGATCGCTATGTGCCCGGCTCCCCCATCTTCCGCGACACCAGCAGCCCAACGCCCCGACCCGCCCTCGCGGGGCCTATAACATCACCGCCCATCTCAGCCTCCTCCGCCTCCCCCTCCGCCTCCCCCTCCGCCTCCGCCTCCTCCTCACCATCCCCCTCCAACGCCACCGCCATTGCCGCCAGCACCGCCGCCATTAGCACCGCCAGCAGCACCACCCCACCAGGAGCCGCAGGAGCAGCAGGAGGATCTGCAGCGTCCAGAAGCCGAGGAGCCAGAGGTATGTGTGCCCACGTCGAAATGAAAGTCAAATTAATTATTTACACTTACGTTGGGTAATCTGGAAGCCGCAGAGGTTTCAAAGCCAACATGAAGCTCGCTTAGAATGTTTTTAAAAACTAGATAAGGCCATTTAGTTTTACAGTTTTCATTCATTAGATACGGGACGTATCTTTTAGAAAAATTTAAGAACAAATTTAAGAAATTCTTGGCGATGGTTTTTTTTTATACTTAAGAAAACAACACTTTATTGCCTTGCTAGTTAAATGATATCTAAGAATATTGGAAAATCTTCAAAAAAAGAAAAATATGTTTTAAAAAATTTAGATAAAAAAGTAGAAATATATTTATTTTTAAACAATTGGTTTTAGCTGGCTCGAGATCTGGTTGCTTTATTGCTGGCATTTTTCCAAATATATCTCAATCTCTTCCGGAGATGGAAGCCCAGTACAAAATTAAACGTTGTTAGCATAAATCATTAACATTAATCATATAGATCAATTAATAAAATTCTGTGATTTTTAAATTAATGTTAAACCATGAAAATAAATATTTCCAATTTTAATGGAAACATTTCTCTGAACTGACACATATTTTTTCAGTGTGCACGATAAGATTTGTGGTCTGATGGCTGATAGCACAGGAACACAAAATTAAACTTTGTAAAATTTCCACGAACCATTTCAAGTTTTCCATGATATTTGGGTGCTCCTGAGTAAAAGTCCCATACAAAATTATGTCCCATCACCTACAGGTTCCGCGGTATAGCTAAGAATACAAAGATGTTTGCCCATTTTGAATTACGTGGCCATAATTGGACTAACCTTTATTATTTTGCAACAATAGCATTCTAAAAATAGTCCCCATTGTGAACCATTGCCCATGTCTTTGGATTGAAAGTTGAAAATCCCAAAATTGTAGAGATTTTTCTGATGTAAAAAAATTCTGAGGATTAAATCTTGAATGGAAGTTTTTAACTATTCATTGTATCTATTGTTCATTGTATGCTTTAATTTCGGTTTAAAGCGTTTTCATTAGGATATTTTTTGATTTCTTATACTAATAAAACCTATTTTTGATTTCATTATCTACTCTAAATGTTGTCAATTTTGAATAAGTCATGGCAACCTCTAGAACTAAGAAACTAAAGTACGTTCACTGAACATACATAGAAAATGTAAATGTTTACTCCCATTCTGTAGGATGCCTTGACTTTTTAAAATTTGACAACATTTAGGAGTAGATAATGAAATAAAAAATCGGTTTTATTAGTATAATAAATCCAATAAAAATATTCTTATGAAAACGCTTTAAACCGAAATTAAAGCATACAATGAACAATAGATACAATGAATAGTTAAAATTACTTCCATTCAAGATTTAATCCTCAGAATTGTTTTTACATCAGAAAAATCTCTACAATTTTGGGATTTTCAACTTTGGCGTCGAATTCCAAAGACATGGGCAATGGTTCACAATGGGGACTATTTTTTAGGAATGCCGTGATGTATTGAGAGTAGGTCCTACCGAAAATAATAAAGGTTAGTCCAATTATATAGGCCACGTAATTCAAAATGGGCAAACATCGGTTTTTGTATTCTTAGTATACCGCGGAACCTGTAGGTGATGGGACATAAGTTTGTATGGGACTTTTACTCAGGATCACCCAATTATCATGGAAAACTATAAATGGTTCGTGGAAATTTTTGGCTGTGTACCTGTGTAGTTGACACAGTTTTCGCGACATTTGTGTAAATAATGTACAATGGAAACATGGAAATGGCCCTGCCCGTATAATTTCCGGCCCTGTCAAACTTTGCGCGAATTCTGGGCCAAAGTCTTCGTCGGAGGCGACCTCTTTTTTGCGCCCCGAGTTCCCTGACCTCCGCCAAATGTCGCCCATCGAGTGGACTAACCTAATGGGGAATCTCGTTGAGTGCGCTTGGATAAACAACCACAATTAGGAGAGTGCAGACGGGTAGACAGACCGAAGACCGGGATATTCTGTCGTCCGGTCCGCACAATTAATTGTGGAATGGAATTCGATTATTTGATGATTATTATCTCAGCGCTGTTTGATTGTGTGCTTTGTTTTTCCACGAAAAGTTCGCCCTGTTTACGTGCGAAAATCTCTCACCCATTCCGCACTTTGCGGCCAGGGAAAGTCCCCGGAGACACGCCAATCTCCGCTGGGTATTGGAGTCCGGATGCCCCCCGTTCTGGGTTGAGTCACTTAATGGCGCAACATGTGAGCCACCGGCGAATGAGGTGCCCGTGTCACGCTACAGTCCATCGATTTTATTTGTTGATTTAGGAAAGAAACAGCAATTGTTGAGGGGGGTTCTGAGGTTATCTAGCTATCGTCGGTTGTCGATTGAAATACATACATATTAAACCGATGTTCTAGGAATTTTCGTATTAGGTTTTTTTATGAAAAGCATTTCCAACTCTTTCAACGAGTTCTTGGTATTATTTTTCAGTGCATTTTGGAACTTAATTCCAGAAACAGGGAAAATGTAATAGGAAATTTCACCGAACAAATTATATTTTGTATTGCCTACTTTAAAAAGTAGTTTGGTTTTAAAGAGCTAAACAACAATGTTTGTGCTGCTTAACAAACCCATTTTGAGAAACCGCAAAGCGAAACCGCAAGCTTAAAATGAAAGGACCATAGAAAACCGCAAATGTCTTTGAATGTACATAACCGACTTGTCTTTCGATTTCTTTTTTTTTTTGTATACCGCAGCCATGACGGCATCTCTAGCTCATGCCGCCCAGGGTAACCACAACAACAATAGCAACAGCAACAGCAGAACCAACTCCCACTCCAACTCTGGAAAGTCCAAGCCACCGGCTGGCTATATGAGCACCCGATCGGCGGCTATGATGGCCTTGGCTTTGGGTCAAACATCGGGCGGAAGGAGCGACAAGTCGCCAACCGCTCCACGAGCCGCTTCACCCGCCCAATCCCAGTCTCAATCCCAATCGCAGTCACCTCATCCCGGTGCCAGGAGGATATCAAATGCCTCTTCTCTACCCTGCAACGCGTCCAGGTCGAAGCCATCCACACCCACGGCGACCAGGGCGGCCGCCCAGCTCAACGGTTCGAGTGTCTTCTCCGGCGGCAGCAACTCCAGTGGCTCCGACAACGATGGCTTCAGTACCTCCGGCTCCTCGGCGGCCACCGCCCTCCGGCGGTTGTACTTCAAGAGCGGTCGGAGCATCAAGAACAAGATCAATGCCTCGACCACGTCGGCCACTCCTCTGAACGGACTACCCCTAAATCCCGTGTCCAGTGCTTATCACAACTCCGTCGGTGGAGCCATGCACAACATGACGACTGCAGGAGGAGTGCCGAAGGTAAATATTTAGAAGAAAACTAAGTTATCTACAAAATGGGTTCAAAATTATAAGAATATTTTTCATTTAAAAGATTTCATTTTCAATTTTAATCTAAAATCCTCAACAGTCTTACAACACTTTTGTTGAGCATACTTTTAAAAATATTAATAAACTATGTAAAGAATTTACAAATATTTGTAAATAATATTATAAAAATAAAATCAAAGCTTTATAGTTTATTATTTTTCTGCCACTATTACTAATTTTTAAATTGGCAGAATGAAATAAATAATGGTTTCTTATTGAAAACTAGAAATTGACAGTACCTTATGTAATTTCTCTACTCCAATCTTAGCTGGTGGTCATGGGAACCTCATCAGCCTCGATTCCCGATACCACCATCAACACGTCCACGGACTCGGCCTGCACGCTCATCACGAATGTGACCCACACGGACACCTCTGAGACGTGCGACTCCCTGGACTTTGGTGAGAACACACATCCCGATTTGATTGCTTGATTGATGTCCCAGCGCGGCCCCATTAATTAATCAACTAATCAATCTGATCCACACCTTCTGTTCTTCCCTGTTACTTTCCTCTTTTAGGCGACAACTCGGGTCCCAGCGAGCCGCTTTTCAGTTCGCTGGAGGAGCCGCTGCTCACCGCCGTCCACATCGATTCGGAGCACGAGGGATTCGGCGGGATGGGCGGCGTGGGAGGTGCCAATGGACACGGCGCCACTGAGCTGGAACTAACGAGCTGTTCGAGGTATCCGCCCAGGCCCGACATGAATCTCCAGGACAGCGTCGAGGTACGGAACGGAATTAAATTCCGGATTAAATGCGCTCGGCCAGCAACCACTTCCGGCACTGAATCATGTGATTATGTACTTCGTATTGTGCTCTGGAGTCACTGAAGGGTGCCTGAAATGGTTCCTTATTCCTTTTTAAAGCCGTATTCATTGCCAGGGTTTTTGTGCCGTTTCTCAAAACTGAAAATACAATATTACCCACTTGTGACAAATTGGGGTTGTTATGGTCATGAATCAAAAACAAAAACTTTTTTGACAGGAAGTGAAAAATTTTAAAAAATAAAATAATATATTTAAATATATGCTATTGATACTAAAAGGGGATTAGAAAAGAATTTAATAAAAACGGAACTCTGGCTATGAGAAATATAAGTTGTCCTTTCAACCCTACACAACTTTCCTATACTTTTCTCATTCGACTTGCAAATTCTCTTGAAAAAAGCAATAAACTTGATGGTTCATTGATTGCTTAAGAGTATGTTAGCCTTATGGTGAAACCTATAAAATGTTACTACATATTCCTCCACTTTACCCCCTTTGCGTTACAGAGCCAGGAGTCCTGTTTGTCCATCCTGACCGGCGAGCCGTCTTCCACCACGCCACTGCTCTCCTCGCAGCGGCGCCACCCGGCGGGCGGTCATTCGCCGGTTGGCCAAAGGGAGCGGGAGCGGGAACGGGAGCCCAGCACGGCTCCACCGCCCACTCGAGGGCGGGAGCACTTCACCTTCGATCCCCCGCAGTCACCCAAGTCGGCGCGCAGCAGCGAAAAGTCCGCCAGCCACTTTCCCTTCAAGAACTATGGTAATGAGTCGTCGGCCAAGGATGTGGGCAAGGCATCTGGAGCAGGAGGAGGACCTGGATCCGGGGTTGGAGGCAATGGAGGCAATGGAGCCGTGGCCGCCAGCGAGGGCGACGAGGAGGATGACGAGCGCAGCGGCGAGAGCGTGGGCAATCGCAGCAAGAAGCTGCGACCCCGGGAACGGGACCCCAACCACATCTCGCCCAGCGTGTCGCCGTCGCACAGTCGCCGGGCGAGTCCGAAGCGGGAGAAGCGCCGGACCACGCCCATCGCCTCCACGGGGGCTATAGCCAAGGTCAGCTCAGCGCCGCCCACCATGAAGGAGGCGAATTTCTTTGGTGGCTCCGGCAAGCAAAAGCCGAACAGACAATCGCAGAATATCACGCCGCACCAACTGTCCCCGTCCGCCCAGCAGCGGAAGTACTCCTCGAGTTCCTCGAGCGGCAGCAGTGAGCGCTGCCTGAGGGAGGCCACTGGACCCGGCACCATGTTCCCCTTCGATCGGGAGGCCCTGGACTACGAGCGCATCCAGCGGGAGTGCTTTGCGCCCAGCTCCACGACGGCCAGCAACAGCAGCGACTCGGAGGCGGAGAACTGCTCGGTGTACGAGCGGAAGTCGGGGGCAGACATCTTCCAGCAGTACTCGCGGCTGAGCCACCAGGAGCAGCTGCAGCAGCACTACCAGCAGGAGCAGCGCGACTGGGAGCGGGATCGTCCGCCCTCGCGCAAGAACTCCAAGCGCATTCGACCGGACTCGGTGATCCACACGACCATCCGAGAGAACCAGCAGTATGTGCCCCAGTCGGACGCCTTCTATCCCCAGACCAAGTCCTCCTCCTCGCCCAGCGATCACTCCTATGCCGAGCTGAACAAGTTCGAGGACATCGCGAGCAAGTTCGAGCAGATCCCGCCCAAGCATGGCTCGGGATCGGTGTCCGGCTCCCTGTTGAATTTGCAGCACATGATGCCCAGTCCGGGCAGCGAATCGGCCGTCAGTCCCACAGACTCCGCTCGTCGGCGGTCCTTCAAGAGCAAGCAGCGGCATCAGAAGGAGGAGCACTTCTACATCCAGACGGAGGAGCGAGTCGGGACAGGCGGTAGCAGTGGAAGCGGACCCATCAACGTGACCGCCAATCCCTTGGAGGCGGCCGCCGTCTGCAAGCAGCCACGCGCCACAATTGTCGTCCAGCAGGTGAGTACAGTTGGGGGTAAAATACTAGCAATCATCTATATCCTAATATATAATATCGATTTTTGTTACTATTGATTTTGTGAATTAAAAATCTTTCCCTAATTCTAAAAATAAAACCTTATATATTTCTAATGAAACTGCAATGATGAATCTCATTTAATTTTACCTATCTAAGTCTGAAAGGTTTTCATATTACTGATAGTAATACCTGGATGTGAAATCCCAAGAAATTCTCAGTTGTAAAGTAGATAATGAGTTTTTATATGTTTACATTTCTATAGAAATCGTCATATTTTGGAAATCGTCATTTATTTAAGGATAAACATTTTTCATTTGATGTATTAAACTACAACTAGCGAACGATCTATGGTACTAGCTTCCAGGTATTTCGACTTATAGCTACATATTTATTTTTTGTTATTACTGATTCCCTAATTCTAAAAATAAAACCTTTTAATAAAGTAAATTTCTTAAAGACATCATATACTTCTTATGAAACTGCAATGATGAATCTCATTTCTGTTTACCTACCTAAGTTTGAACATGAAATCACTAGAGTGCAATGGATTCCTTATTAAGGATAGTAATACCTGAATGTATAATACCATTTCCCAAGAAATTCTGTTGTAAAGAAGATAATGAGTTCTTATTGATTTATGGGCCGGTTCTATTGACAATGTCTTCCGAGCTCATCAGTGGGGGCACATACTTATATGCAGATAACGGAAGCTCTCTTTGTCCATCTCTCCAGCTTCGAGTTGCTCCCTTGTGGAGTCTTCCCTCGCGCTCCCCATCTGCCGCTCTTCCGTACCGCTTTGTCTGTCCTGTTCTCTCACACCCACTCCCACTTTTCCGCTCTCTCTGTAGTATCTCTCTCTCTCTCTTTCGGGCCATTTTCACAGCTAATAAAATGGGGCGCGCGACGCCGATCTCGTCAGTTAAAGAGAGCAATCCGAAAGCGAAGCATCGCCAATAAAGAAACGGAATCGCGAAGAATCAGATAGAAGAACCGTTTATTACAGATCGTGTAGTTAAGTGCCAACCTGTTAGTGTTCGCTATGTAAACGCGGTGACCTAAAGGCAAATAAAGAGTTCGAAACAAAAGGATACAAAATCCGCTCGATAAACTGACAACTTAATTCTTTGAAATTCTATAAATCCGGTGAAACAGTGAATCATGGCGCCCTTCTACAAGCGCATCTGCCGCAGTCTTTCAAAGCGATACAAGGAGGTAAACTATACGAACCACAAATCTTGCAGTCACATATATCCCCTTTAGTTAAGGGACATCCCACCAAATCCCTGACGCGCCCGCTTGATTGATTTTGCTAATGAGCCAAACAACCAGCCGGGGGCATCAATAAGCCTCCATGGATACATAGATAAGATATAGATAGCAAGTTGATGCCTTGATCCATCGTACAAACGATATGCGAGATTTATCGACTACCGGTGACGTCAATTTGGCCATAAATTTGCCCTTCGCTCCGCTTTGCTTGGGTCCCAGATAGTGGTTATGGATTAATTTCTGGCCCGATCGGAATTCGGGTGACTTTTTTATCAAAGGTGGTGGTGGAGACACCCACTTATGTATCGATGTATGGCTATGAATATTGCGCCACAATCGCCGCTCCAGTGAATGAGTTTCTGACCCACAATGAATTTGTCGTAAATAATTAAAATGTTGCAACTGACAGCGAAATATGTATGGAGGTATTCTTTATTATTCCGTACATCTCGCAGATGACAGCTGTCAAAATAAACTACCACAACGGAACGAGGGACCCAGTTGCCCAGTTTACGGAGAGTCCAATCATCGGTCCAGTGCCAGATCGCAGGTTGTTTTCCCCTTATTTATTTACTTGCTCAAATCGGATCATAAAAACATAAAAGCAAAGGCCGCCGCACGGAAAACAGTGGGTAGAGGGGGTAAAGGCGGTAAAAGGGGCGGGAACTTGTCATAGACCCAGACACAGATATAGATATAGCTATCTGGTCGGGTTTATTTAACGATTTCATTGTAAACGGCAGTGAGTTAGCATTTCATTCTTCGAACTTTTGCCCATTATGCATAAAGAGAGAGAGCTGCATATATACACACAGAATCAGATAGATTATAGATGTTCGTTGCAAAGGCATTTCCTGGTGGAAAAAACACAGCATCAGCGACGGGCATACGCATACATATTCATGTGGCGCACAGGGAGGAAATTATATTTTCATCCAAAACAAACGAAAAGAATGACGTCCGGAATGGAGATTTTCCAAAGAACCAAGAACCCCTGTTATTTAGTGGTCCAACCTTCCATCAGGTGTAAAGTGTAATTGTTTCGCGCGCAGATCGATTGCCCCCATAAGTTTCGGATTCGGGGTGTGCGTGTGTGGGCATCGAGACGTATAAATCTACATAAATTGCAAGAGTCCCAGCGATACCGTGCGATTTATCTACCAGTTGGCCCCCTCTGCTCACCTGTTCACCTTGCTCCGTTGGCGAATTATTAGCAGGCACGCACTTGGTTGCGAGTGCAGCCTTGTGGGTGGTGGGTGTTGGGTGGTGGCGTTTGGAGGTTGCCATGTCCCCCCTCTCATGCCATTTCCACCTTCAAAGTAAACATCGGCAGAAACGCAAACATGTTTCCAGTTTTTCCCCCATTGTCGGCTGTTTCCTATTGATTTTACATTGAGTGGTCGAATGGTTTCCTTTGATTGCAGGCAAATGTGTGAGAGAGAATGCATTTGCTGTTAGTTCGCCTTGGATGCCATAAACGCTTAAGCTCCTTCCGGCACACTTCGTCCTTGCCTGCTTTTCCACCCGTAAACGGTTGGCCTGCTCAGTTGTTAACCATACACCATAATTACCCACACAAACGACTAATTAGCCATTATTTGTATCACCCAACTACACACATTAATTGGCCATTATTCCGCTGGCGCAGCCTTCAAAGGTCAGTTTCCCCAAACATTTCTTGGCACTTTCACTTGGCGCCGCGGCCATTCACTCTTTTAGTTTTCGCCGAACGGCAGAATTTTGCCGATCATTGATAAATGATAAATGGCCAAAACGGTTATTGACTCTGCCAGGGCCGCCAATATCCAATGTGGCTAATTATAACGCGGGATGGCTAAACACTCGCCGGCGTTCCGTTGAGCGTCTGGGGTTGTGGTCAGGGACTCGATTAGTTCCTTAGGTTTACCAAATTTCCCCCCCCCCCCAAATTTTTTCCCCCTCTTTGCTTTTTTTTAATTTTTTACAAGGGAAAGGGGGGGTTTTTTTTTTGTTTTTTTTTTTTTTTTTTTTTTAGATCCACTTTCCTTTTTGAGGGCACTGTGCCTCTGGCCAGATTCCGATTCAGTAGGCCGCCCGAGGCCAATTGCCTTATAAAGTGACATTAATTAGTTGATTTATGAACTGGCCCCGCACCTGGGCCAGCTATCCACCTCCTTTGATTTCGAATCCATTGACCCCATTCGGTTCGGCGAAGGCTACTGCTGCATTTGCTGCAGCTGCATCTGTATATGCATCTGCATCTTCGTCCACGTCCACATCTACATCTGCACTTTCTGCAGCGGAGCCATAAATAAACCTTTGCTATAAATAAACATGTACATTGTACAAGGAGAGCATTCTGCACTTGTTATTGTGCATATGCCTCACATACCAAAAGTAATCGTTCGCGGAAACATTTTCCAGCAACGCGAATAGTTTGCTGCAGGTTATTTACCTGGCATGCTGCACTTTGCACTTTTCCCTGCTCTGCTCAGCCGTCGGACACGTGAAAAATTTGAGGGAAGAAAAGAAAATCCCCTAACAAGAAGAAATCACCCGAAATGTTTCACTTTGTTCTGGCGAAGAGCGGTCCATCAAAATGAAATCGCAGACACTTTCAATCCAACCAACATCATGATTAGTGTGTGGCGAGAAAATTATGGTGTTTGGAATATCACAATTTAAACAGCGACTGCCTCCAGCGATGTTATGTTTTCCTTTTGGCGGGCCGGCCCCCCCAACAGGTTTTCCGTGTTTTTCGAGTTTTCCCGAGTACGCTTTTTATTTTTAATATTCGTGCCGCATGAAAATAGCCAGAAAACCTGGCCACCACCTCCCGACCGCTGGCTCTTTTGCCGGATTTCACAGGCGATTGAACACAGAGCGGCGTAAAAATGAAACAAAAACATGAAAAGTGATTTGCATGCATGGCGCTCGCCTGTTTTTAATACATACTTTGCAAACTAAATTTATTTTTAAACGATGCCAAAATCGGAGGGGTGCTGGCAGATCGATCGGGTGTGAAATGAGCTCAGGCAGCTCCTGTAATATCAATTATAATTTATGCGGACGTTCTGCATAGGCGAGACTGAGTTATCCATTTCATTTGCAGTTTTGCACTTTCCATAAACAAAACGGCGTCTAATTGCATTCCAATCTGGCCTATTGTTTCTGTTTTTCTCCCCTTAGCAAGCTGTAGTTGATTAATTCTGGCAAATTGGCAGCGATTCCTGCCACTCGGCACGTAGTCCAGGCCTTTGACAAACCCATTTTTTTGGGGAAGAGTTTTCTCGCCTTCTCTCGATTCGAATTCCCAACATTTTATCTGCCTGTTGTTTGGAAGCCTCATACATTTTCCTAACACCTCCGGTCGGTTTGCTTTTTAATTGCCAATTTCCATGCGTTTGGATACACAAATCCGCTGCGTAGTTCTACACAGAATCAATAAGAACATTTCTTATAGAAAGTTGATAAAAATGGGATTATGACTGGTGGCTACCCATTGAATATTTATAAACATACTCTTTTGATTTAAACCAAAATACCAAGAAAATTATTGTCATTTGACTCTACCGAGAGTTTAATAGAGTTTCGATTTTGTTGAAAGATTCTATAATTAATTTTGTGCCTTCATCCAGTTGTCTCAATGGAAACTAAATTGTAACTACACACAAACAAATTTGCTTGGTAAAATTGACCAACAAAGAGTTACGTAACTATTAAATAGTTACGTGTATTTTGTTTTTGCTTTGGGTTTGTGTCTTTGCTAATTGTGTGTATTTTGTTGTTGTGAAATGACTATTTACTTAGTAGAATTGACAATTTTGCTGGTTGGGGCCTGTTTGACAATTATTACAGTTGATTTTACCAAGATTTTTTTTGTGTTTAAATGCATAATTTGTATGCACATCGGCAAGTGACAGTTTGCATAGTTTATCAACAAACTACTTATGTTGTGTGGCAAACAAAACATTGTGATGGGCAAAAGTTTCCAAATTTAATTTGTATCTACCTTTGATAACATAGTCAAGAAGATAACAATGAATTTAGTATTTCTTCAAAAACCATTTGGTAGAAGTATTAAATATTCAACCTCCTTTCTCCTCTAAATGCTACCGTACAAGTTCTGTTTTTATCGCACTTCTTTCTCACTTTTTTGGAAACTCTAGGGTGTATGTGGCAACTTTTTTCCCCAATGCAATCTGCTGCTAAAAATAAACTGACAAAAAAATAAGAAGAGCCAACGCACCAACCGATGCAAGAAAACTATTTTCGGCGTTTGTGTAATGGGGAAAATGGGAAATGGCAGCGAAGACGAAAAAGAGCAGCGTCACAGCAGCGCGTCCGAAGCAATATTACTCATACGCCGCATGTAACGCGTCATTGCGTGTGCGCTGATGTCGTTGGTTGGATGTGGGATACTTTCTCGGCGGTTTCGTCATCAGTAAAAGTGTCGCATCCCCTTTCGGCGCCATCGAATCGCTCCCCCGGGTTGGATCAGCCAAAAAGTTTCCCATTTGGCCACTTAAAGTGTACGATTCGATTGTGGGAAGGTCTGAATGGGAGGAGCTGTGAAATCGAGAGGCATTAGTGGGCGGTATCATTAGGGCCTCTCACGGGCACACACTTTCGCACGTTATTAATTAGCGCTCGGGTGAAATGCAGGCCAACTTTTTCCCATTTCCCCCACTGTCAGGCCTGCCAATAAAATACACAAATTAATTTGGGCATTTGCTGAATAAATATATGTGTGTGTTCGTTCTCAGGTAGACTTCTCCGTGTGTTGGTGTAATTTATGGTGCAGGCCTTTTTGCGTAAATTCCTGATAATTCGACCTGGCTGGCAGTCATTTGTTTTCGCCCAGGCAGACAAATTTAAAGCTTAACTTTGATAGATATTTATTTATGCCAAATTTATGTTTGCCAACAATGCAAAACAGATTGATGTTTTCACATTTACCGTTCCAGAAAAGTTCGAGTATTTATTTGTTTTAGCACTCAAGAGAATGCTATACCACTTGACAAGACTTTTTGTCAGGACAAATTGTAATTTAAATAGAAAAACAAAAGCAATTAGAATAGAAAATTCTGTTTGCTGATATCTATATTTATTTAAAGATATACATGCTTTAAATTTGAATTTGCTTGAAATATTATTTATATAATATTTTAAATTAGCTTGGTGCTGTATAAAATCAATAGTTAAGGCCAATTTTCATCAGTGAAATTGGGCCTCCTATAGCAAATAGCTTGTTAGGAGTATCATTAGGCGGTATTATTTGTTAGCCAGCTGAATTCTGGTCAATAATCCTTGGACAGTTAACCGAGGGCGAACCATAAATTTGCGGGAAATTCACCTCGACACGAATTCCGAGAGCTATTTGAATTTGCAACTGCAGACACGCAATGCAGAGGCTTACTGGCATTTTTTCTGGCTTTTGAACGGGCTGTCGGAACACCTGTTCAAGGTGTAGATAAAGCAAAAAGTTTTCAAAATCGCTGGGAAAAACCCTTGAAGAGTGGCGAATCCTTGGGGGATTCCACCCCCGAGCGTCGATTGCCGAGTACTGCTTGTGCAGCAAATTCATAAGCTCATGGAGGCAATGAATGAAGTCATCGGGGCATGAGCACTTGGTCGAGTAGTTGCGATTCAATTGGAAATGCAGCAATCCGCTTAACAATCAACGATACTTCCGACACTCACCCTTCTATTTTCCATTTTTGTTTACCCTCTCTCCATTTTCTGTTTATTCTATGTAGCCCTCGTTGAGTCTGGACAATACAGTGGAGACGCTGCTAATCAAGAACGAGGGGGACTTTATCAGCGTGGAACAGGGCAAGGAGCTGGTGGCTCGCAAGCGCAACTCGCAGCAGCTGGCCCATCCGCCGGCGCACTTGCACCACCACCCACAGGGCCACGCCCACAACCACCACAGCCACAATCAGAATCAGAATCTGAACCAGAATCAGAGCCACCAGCAGCAGCAGCAGCACAAGCGGGACGAGAATATGAGGCAGCTGCTGGATGTGACCAACACGCTCACCATCGAGGAGCTGCGCGACTTTGAAATGCGGTAAGTGGGGTCCCGACCTTTGACGGATTACGTTTTATGACCCGGGCCTGAGATTTAATTTCCGATTGAATGCCAATCGATTTTCAAGACTCTCGTAAAAATGCCCGGACCAAAGTAATCAAATTTTAAATGGCCAAACGGACCAACGGACAAACGGACAAACAGAAAAAAAGCAAAAATACAACAAAAAAAGGCAGACAGAGGACCAGTTTTATAGCCTTCACCTGCCAGCAGTTTTGCATTGTAACAGACGAGGAAAAAAGCCATGATGGGACCATAACTTTTCAAATTACTCACACGACCTGTTGCCAGTTCGAGGGGCCGAGGGAGAATTTAGTTTTGTTTTTAGTGAAAAATGCATGGGTAAACAAACATTTCAGACTTGCTCGTGGACGCAGTTCCTGCATTTGATTGTCATGTTGCGACTTTAAATATTTTTGGTATTTCGGATATTTCGCCACCCAAGCAGAAGACTGCAGAGAATTCGATTTCATTAATTTTCCGACTTTTCACCAGATTGGGCGTTTTAATTATCCATATTTTCGGCTTTCTGGCTTGCGGTTAGCTTGGTAGCTCGACTATTTGTTCGAGGACACCGGGCACATGTCCTTTAGTCTTGTGGTATTCGCAGTGGCCAAGGACATGGCAGGTGAAGCAAGTCAGGCGGGTGGTGCTGCTGATGTTGGGTAAGAAGTGCATCTTTAGATCTCCATTAAACCGCTGTCAGCTGCAGTTCGGTTATGACTGGCATTCACATCACATGGCTTTGCCACATCCGCCGAGATGACAAAACAGAGCACTCAAATTATTAACTATGTCGCCTTGTCCGGATTTCAGGTATGGCTCACCACATCACAGCCGCTCGCAATCGGTTAAGATGCCCGGCAGCCGGGCGTCGGGAAGGCCAAATCAGTTGTGCCTGCCCCAGCAGAGATCCAGGTGGGTGCCAAACCGAGATATATACGTAACTTCTCTGTACTAATAACCAATCTCCGCCTGCATCAGAGTGGCCTCCATGCCGAATACCGGAGTGGAGGAGGAGTACTACCGGCTGCGCCACTTCTCGATCACCGGCAAGGGCGTGGTCAACCGCGGTGACTCCCTGAAGAGTCGACGCAGTCGCTCCAACAACAGTGTGGCCAGTTCGAACTCCAGCACCGAGCACCTGACCGCCCAGCAGCAGCTGTCCGCCCCCGCATCCGTGTCCGCCCGAACATCGCTGGCCTCCAGCAGGGAGAGCAGCACCTCCAATCCGGGCAACGGTCCGTACAGGTGAGTCAGTGTTTTTCATTTCATTTCAATTTGAGATTTAATTAATTTGACCAAGAGTAATAAATTTCCATTATAAATTATTAACAATAGAACCGACAAAATGATGGTCGGATTTCCAAAGCGGTAGTTTCATCTTCTTTAAAATGGGCACATAAATTATCATAAATACAGAATATAACCCATTTGTATTTTAATTAAATAAAAAAGATTTAGGTACTAATTAAAAGGACAGAAAAATCATTTTTACACATGACCATTTTTCTTAATTGTTAGTTTCATGTTCTTCAAAGTAGGCACATAAATTAATATTTGTGTTTGAATTTATTTGTATTTTAATTAAATAAAAGTATGTTAATTGAAAAGAGAGAAAAATCATTTTACACATGACTATTTTTCCTAATTGTTAGTTTCATGTTCTTCAAAATGGGTACATAAATTGATATTTGTAATTTCATTACTGAAATTCCATTCCGCTTCACCTTATAGTCTTTATTAAATAAAATGAAGTGCACCTACTAATTAAAAAGTTCAAAGGGGAAAAAAGGCCCAAGTATGAATATTAAAAGAACAATACAAATAAAGCAATCTCCCTCTCAATTAAAGACTAATTGACATCGCCCACTTTACTATTTCCCTATTCCAGGGTCCTGATGCTGGGAGGTCCTGCGGTGGGCAAGAGTTCGCTTGTCTCGCAGTTCATGACGTCGGAATACCTGCACGCCTACGACACGAGCATCGGTAAGTTTATATCCGGCTCCGGAGATGCCTGCATCCGGATTCCGAATGCCGGTTACCTTGAGACCACCCAAAACCACCCAAACCCCGACCCCGCCCCAACTGCACTGCATAGACCCCTGCGCCCCCTGTGTCATCCCGTGTCTGTCTGCTAGTCGTGAGTGAGTGCCTTGGCTTCAGTTGATATTATTTCATAATTCATTTGTTGGCACTACCTCCGTTTTCCTAGTCGATGTTGTAGCCGTGCTGTATTATGTTGTCTTATGCTACTATATTAGTTTGATTTGGTTGCTCTGTGTCTGTGTCCGTGTGCCGTCTGTTTGCCCCCGTATCACATGGCTTTTTATGATCCCGTGTTCGGAAAGTTTGTATTTTTCAGTTGTATTGCCTTGTTTTGTTCCGTTGAGTATTGAGTACTGCCTTCTGTTTGGTTTCGTTTGCTTTGGGCGTTTTACGAGTCTGCCGAGCTATTGGCACCACCCAATGGGTCAACACATATTGGCATGAAGCATAACAAACGCTGCTGCAATGAAAATAAATTCTCCTCATTTTTGGATTTTTGCGATTCTATGGAGGAATGGAATTGGCCAGGGAAACTGTTTCCATCTCTGGCAGGGAGTCAATGAAAAGATTCGAATAAACATTTCTATTGGCACAAAGGAAAGAAGGCAAAAAATTAATAAAACAATAAATTCTGGCGGCGAATGGAAAATTTAATGCAAATAAATTTGTCGCTCGTCGTTTATTCGGAAATTTTTGGTTGTGACCAATTCCAACATAGTATTATATACACCAAACGGCCCCCGTGTAAATGCTTATCCAACACACACACAAAACCTCATAATGAACCCCGCTACTGTATCATACTGTTCTATAAAGAAATGATAATTTGTTCTGTTTCTCTCCATTCCGAATATCAACCAATCATTCAACTCAATGTCTCAAACCGACCCTACAAAACTCGAAAAACAACAACAACCGATATAACAACATACGATTTGTACATACAACAACCAAACCGAAAATCCGAAAACCGTATTTCAAACCGAAATCGAAATCGTGATCGTTATCAGATCTAGGCAACTGTGATATACGCATTCTAATTGAAAAAGCCGCCGACGGTAAAAGCAACCAGCCACTGAACAATACTAATAATAACCTTGTTAATTATGCTACTCCTTAATATTTATCCAAATATCTCTATACATATGATTGAAACGCTTTTCAACTATCCAAACAAACCCAAACAAACAACAAACTAGCCAAACACTTAGCCCACGATTGCAATAGCCCTGCGATTCCCAATTGAGTTCGATTAAAAGCTAGACAAACTCCTCCTCCAGAACCGTAACACACCTGCCTACCAGTCACGCCCCGAAAGTTAGAATTCCTAGCCAACCCCCGAAAAAAAATAGAACACACCACCATATATAATACAAAGTCCCATAGACCGACCGCTCCACAATCGATTGTCAAACGATTGCGGCCTTTGTTTCGCCTGTGATTTATGGCCAGTCGATGGGCAGCCTTGAGGGCCGACATACGATATTGAAATGATTATGCACATCACAAACACACCGAATGAAACTTAATTAATGATTCGGCCAGAGGCGCTGGCCGCAATTATTGATTGCCACCGGGGACTGGAGGAGCAAATAATGGTCGTGCCATATATTCAAATATAATAAATGCCACAGCTTCCCCTGTAGAATTTTTAATTAAATAAAAAAGCACAGAGAACGCATTCAATGAATAATAATAGAGAAAGCACTCACTTACACAAACAAATTCATTGGCCTTCCCTCCACTACTCACTACCTTTTTGCAGATGAGTTGCATTGCCTACTTCTGGGTGGCAAATTTAATTTCCCTTTCATTAGCATACATTTCGGGGCACTCGGGGGCCAACTTCCGGTCAGTCCCCGAGCTGTGCCCATTTAACCTGGCTAATGGGCACCCAAATAGTCGCATGTAGAGGACGACACTTGTAGATAAAACCCCGTCAGAGACACACACACATAGAACACAACAGAAACATGCACATACTCCTTGTTTTTGCACTTTCAAAAATGGATGTTGTACCTATATCATTTCATTGCTTGACATCTAAGTTATAGTTTTGCGCACATGACAATACACTGGTGCTAACCTTGATTTTCTCCTTGAATGTGTGTGCAGATGATGAGTCCGGCGAGAAAGCCGTTTCAGTATTACTCAGTGGCGAGGAGTCCGAGCTGATATTCATCGACCATGGATACACCGAAATGACCGTAAGTACTTAAAATGATATTGAAAAGTTAGTGCAGCGGTCACAATAATATAGGGGCTACTAATTTTTAATTTAAAAGAATGATTATACATTTTAAATATAATATTTTGAAAAATATTTGCTTTTACCATTTTCAAAGGTCAGTTTATATAAGTCAGTGGCTCTTAAAAGTCGATAAAATTTTGTTAAAATATTAAAACGTTTTTAATGGTCTCTTAGATATATAAATGCATTAGTTGCTCAGAGTGTATTCTCATACGCACTTTAAATAAATGGACTTTTAAAACGTCCATGCTTTTAAAATGGTTATTATAAAGCCTTCGAAGCCTTTTTGCTATTATGGTGACCACAGCTATTATATATTATACATACCTGCTCATCCGTCCGGGGCCCTGCACTCTATCTGTGGCATTTCATAATGCCATTAGCATGCACGGCCATCAACTAACCCGCACAAGCGGGGAATCACACTTTGGAAAAAGCTCTCAACCTCACTCAATGTCACCCCGGTGTCATCTCCATTCACAGCCGGATGAGTGCCTGACCAACTACGATCCGCACGGTTATTGCGTCATCTATTCGGCGGCGGACAGGAGCAGCTTCAGCGTGGCGGAGCAGGTGCTGCAGGTGCTCTGGACCAATCAGAACATCGCCCAGAAGGCGGTCATCCTCGTGTCGAACAAGGCGGACCTGGCCAGGAGTCGACTGGTCACCTCCGAAGGTAAGTGGCCTTGTATACAGTGTAAATATAAGTATGTGGCCAGATTCGGACGATTTCCTCCGTTCATTAACACTCGAAAATGCGCTCGATTGGGTCTGTTAAAAATAGATATGTATGGGTTCATAAGCCGATATAGTTGGGGTGTGTGAAGAGGACCCACAGGGCCAACTGAAGAGTTTGCCCAAGCGGAAGTCATCCGGCGGTTCGCCCACACAAACAGGCGGAGTCTTAAGTGGAGGAGATTCCCACCTCCCACATTGAAGGTCGCCCGTTTCGGGGCTCTTTTTGTCTATTCAAGTACTTTCACTTGACTTTTATATCGGATTCCCTTTAAGGAGAAGGTAACTCGGGCGCTTTCATCCTAGTAATTCAATATTTTCCGTTAAATTACGTTTGTTATTATGAAAGCGGGTGTGGGTGGTGCGGCGGGAGTGGGTGGTTGCTGGAAGGGTTCCCCGCCAGTGGCAGGGAAATTGTTTCAGCGCAAAATTGATTACATTTCGTCCCGTGTGGCATGTGTTCCGCTCAAGGTTTAAGGCCCATAAGCCTATTGTTGTAAACAGGGCGACAACAGGGACTCCCCATCCCCATCCCATCCACCACCACCACCAACGCACAATATTGAATTGAGAATTTGGGCGGTGAGTTCCTGTCCATCTAATGCGGCGCCCTAATTTCATAAAGTATTTATAGAATTTTGTATGCCTCCGGCCATAATAAAATGAGCGCTTAGCCCAGAAACGTCTGGATAAAAGATATATTCATAAATCTAAACATTGTCACAGTGATTGGAAAAAGTATATATGAGAGGGTCTCGACAGAACGACAGACGAAATGTAGGTACACAGTGCTCCACATATGCCTGTGTCACTCCATCAACTCTAAAATGGCTTTTGAAATTTTAATGCGCTTTCCTCGTTTTACATTTTAACCTTTCAACTTTGGCATATTTAATGATGTCTGCGCCATTCAAGTGACGCACTAATTATTCAATTTGGGTAAACATTGTCCCGATGCTGGGAACTTCTGTTTACTTTTAATTAGAAACCAGTTCCAACTGTAATCGAAAGTCGGGAGGTTAAGAGCTTAAGTCTTTAAAGGAACCACGGAAAGGCTGGACCGCCTATCAAATTGTAATAAAACAAAATATATATGTAACTAAGCTTGTGTATTGAACAACTTTCGTCACATTGTTAATAAAAATGTGAGCCTGTCATAAAATTTGCACCAGGAGGGTCGCACGCATGATGTACCTCCGCATGCTGCGAACTTTGATGCTTCAGATTTTACGAGTTGTGTACACAACTGTGGACAGGACGTGCCGATGGGTTGGGGGATGGGGGATCCCTGCATCATCAAATTGCCAGCGTGTTTAGATACAAATCCGAGTCCAAGTTGAGGTTTTATGGCCAACTCAGAGTTAACTAAGCGAGGCCATTTGATTTGATTAACTGGGGTGATGGCCGACCGGGCCAACTAGGCTTGACTGCGATGCTCTCGGCCATAATTTCCACACATTTTCACTTAACCTCTCACTCGCTTATCTTATTGCAGAGGGCAAGGCCATGGCGACCGCCTACGATTGTAAATTCATCGAGACCTCGGTGGGCATCAATCACAACGTGGACGAACTGCTGGTGGGTCTGTTGTCACAGATACGCCTGAAGTTGGAGAATCCCGAAAAGTCCAGGTGGGTGGAGGGATTTAGCTTTAATTTGAATAATTTACTTACCTTTTTTACTTTTCGCAGGGACCTGTTCCGCAAGCGTTCGATTAGAAAGTCAAAGCGACGCGCTTGCTCGCCGCTAAATGCAGGATGTCTGAATGCCAATACCCCGCTGGGTCCGCTGGGGGAGGCGGTGGCCACGCCCCCTGGCAGTGCTCAAAGCAGGTGAGTCACGGCCCCTGACAGCCCATCAAAACCAGACAGAAATACCCATTTACCATTTACCGTTCTCTTTCGCAGTCCCCGCAAATATCGTGGTTCTCGTACCTCCACCAGCCTGAAAGTTAAGGGTCTTCTGGGCCGCGTCTGGACTCGGGACTCCAAGTCGAAGAGCTGCGAAAATCTCCATGTACTATAAGCTCAGAAATAGTCTCAAATGTATCCCAAAAAGTTTCCTATAGACTATGCAAGATCCTAAGCATAACTATCACTTAAGTTGCAAGAAACAGACTCGACAACTAACGGGGGTGTTATTCCCAACTGTATATATTGTGTATAATTTTAGCCTTAATTTACGCTAGTCATTTTCCCCATTCATCATTGTATATAGTTTGTCTAAATATAAAACTATTATTTGTAATTGTTTTCTTATGGTTTTCGTTTTCTTCTAAGCATGAGTCGGGACTATTTTCAAAGTTAGAACCTGTCATAGTTGCGACTGGAATAAATAAGTTATATTTTTGATTGAAAGAATTAAAAATACAAAAAGAAACCAAATTTAAAAGCAATAATTTTTGGAAAAAAATAAAAAAAACGATTTACCCTTGTTCATAGACAAAGTTAAAAATACCAATTGTACTGATTTTTTGAAGGTTTGGCGCTTGTCCGCCGAATGAAACTTATTGTTAATTATATACGTGTAGTTATACATTTGTAATGGTATTGTATTTTAAAATTACATAAATATTCACATGAATGTTAATTGGATTAAATGTTCAGAATTTGATTAATCGAATGAGAACCAGAAAATATATAACCCACATTGTGCAATTTTGCTTACATAGACCTAGGATTTTTGCCGTATTTGCTAACCTTTGCCATTTTTTTGAAGGAGTCCATCGTGCACTCAAAACCGGCACGGCACGCCCTAGGTTTCTCATGTTAGTCGGGACCATTTCAAAATTAATCAAAGATAAAGGAAATATGCAAGAAACACTAGATTTACGCAAAGGGCTTTTATTAATAGGTTCATGTCAGCGTAGTTTTACATTAATTCAATATGTGATTTAACACAAGGTCCACAAAATCGAGAGCAAGAGCAAAACCATTTTGTTATTGTATGTGCTGCGACCTGCTCTATCAAATATTGAGGTCGGATGGAGAATTTTGAGATTTTTAACTATGAATGTCAACACTAGTAGCTTAGGGCAAAACACACCCATTCCATTCGCCTTCGGGCAGTACTAATCTAGATGTCCACTAAATGTACAATATTATAGATGTCCATTAAGTATTATAATCACCAACAATTGCAGCACAATGGAATTTAACGGAGTGGTGTTCTGGCAAATATCAAGGTATGGAAATAGCTGGAACTTTGGAGGAAACCCTAAGAAAAACGTGCATCCTATCATATGTGTAATATAACCAATCTATACCAGATAGTTAAAATATATATAGCTGTTTTGGCATTTTTGTCCATAATTCTGTGTATTGTCTCGCTCAACAGCAATGAATGAATTCGAGCCGAAAACTAAATGGGAATTTGCACAGATTGTACAACAGTTTATACATATGTATAAGAAGAAGCGAAAGTCAGCCATATATGTAAGCAGTTTGTGTAAGTAGAGTGGGTAAAAGTTTACTTATAAACAATTGAGTACATGTTTTGATTTTTTCGCTCCGATAATATATGTCTAATGAGTGTATATTAAATGTGAAAAGTTCAATTTAACCGTTTGAAAAGCCGTGTTTTATTTGGTGGTTTTTGATTTTGACCTTGTAGAGGGTATTTACACACTCAAAAAAAAAACAGCCCGAAATCGCCATTAAATCAAGAAATTTGCCATGAATTTCAGTCGATGGCGATTTACCGTATTTTTTAGAAAGGAATTTTCTAAAATTTAGAAAAAAATTTCTGAAAAGCAGAAATACTTTTCTAAAATCAAGAAAAATTGCCATAAAATTGCGAAAAATTTCCTTAAATCCAGAAAGTACTTTTTTTGAAAATAGAATTTTTTTCTTAAAATAAGAAAGGACTTTTTTTATTTTCAGAAAATTTTATTTATTTTAATAAAATGTATACATATTTATTTTACTATTTTATTTCCTAAACAAGAAAGAGAAAAGAAAATAAAAAGGATGAAAAGAAAATTATTAATATTTCCTAAACAAAAAAGGAAAACAAAACAAAAAAGATAAAAATAAGATAATAAATATTTCCTAAAGAAAAAAGAGAAAAGAAAACAAAAAAAGATAAAAATTACATTATAAATATTTCCTAAACAAAAAAGAAAAAAGAAAAGAAAACAAAAAAGATAAAAATTATTAAGTAGGTATTTAATATATTACCTATTATTAAAATTTACTTACTTACTGCCAAATTATCAACAATACCTGAAATTGAAATTATTCCTGCAATCGAAAATAAAAATTAATATTAGAGAAGGATGGTATTTCCGGCCTGCAATAGTATGCCCTTTGCTTACCATAAATTTTCACACACTTACCAAATTTATATTTAAATTTATTTAAATTGCTTACCTATTAATTGCCTCTTAGAGGGATCGCACTTTAACTTTCTTAAATGGGCTCAACACAAACTTATTACTTTGAATGCTCATCCAAAACTGAGCACAGTCTCTCTCGCGAGAGACTGCATTTCCAAAACAACAACGCAATAAAAGTTACAGCTACGCACAAGAAAATTCTCGATCATACGCACAAACACACATAAACATATACATACATACGCCAAAAACTGTCGTCGCAACGCGCCGCGGACTAACCCCTTGTCTTCTTCTTTTTCGTTTCGAAGAAAGAGTGAGAAGCATAAAAGAAATACAAAAAGTTTTTCTTAAATCTATGGTGATTTTCTAATTCTACTTTTCTGTTTTCAAGAAAACATTTTTTTTTAATTCAGAAAAGTTCTTAAAATGTAGAAAAATTTACCGTATTTTTTATGGCGACTTTCTAGATTATAGGAAGGGCTGAAGTACATTTTTTCTTAATTTAATGGCGAAATCGCCATTAATTTAAGAAAATTTTTGGAGAGCAAACTAGAAAAAAACACCATTGATTTAAGAAAAAAAATCATTTTTCTAAATTTTAGAAAGGTTTTTCATAAAATTCTGTTTTTATGGTCTTTGTTCCTAGATTCAAGAAAACAATTTCTAAAATTCAGAAAATTTTATAAAATTAAGAAAAAATTTCATTTTATGGCGATTTTCTAAAATTTAGGAAAAAAAATTTTTTGAGTGCAGAAACAGCATATCGACTTCACTACCATAGACACCAAAAAACCATCTGCAAGCGTAAATCAAGTTAGATTCCTGTCTTATTAATATTTTGTTGTGATTCCAAATGAAAATTTTGTTCTAGATAGATTAGATTTAAAATTTTATAATACTTTTTTAATGTAAATAATTTTTTTCGTGTAGAGAGTGTCAGAACAAGAACAACGACAGCGCCGACATGAATGACGATAAAGCGTAAGGCTTGGCTTGGCATCGCTTTTGGCCCCGTCTCGTTCTGGTCTTGGTTCCATGCTCTGGGCCAAGACCACTAGTAAGCGAGTCCGAGTCGGCAGGACGGCATTAATAACAAACGCTTTGATCTTTGCGCACAAGAGTTAATTGCATGCTTGCTGAAGAGTTGCTGTTGTGGCGATGTTGCTGCTGTGATGTCGCTGTGTGTTCCCGGCAATTTGTTTTATAGAATCGGAGTTGGCGCGCGGTGTGGCTACTTCAATCAATTTAATTGTGTCTTAGTTAATAGTCATGTTTCTGACATTACCCCAATACTCAGTAAGCAGTGAAAGCCCCCAATTCTAAAATTAACGGTTCTAAAAACATTTTTTCGAAAGTTAAATATTTTTTAATTTTTGTAAGCAATATTATTTTATTAGGAAAAGTATTTCTTTTATTTGTTTCACCAACGATAATTGCTTGTACAAAAGTTGTAAACAAAATAATACACCATTAAGTCTTCTTTCACGACTTTACTATGAGGTCTAAAATCATCTTCGATTGGATCAGAAAAGCCTCAGAGCCCTTTGTTAAACATCTTTGCTTGTCGGGGATTTTCCCAGTCGCATATTAAAAACCTGAAGCCGCAGAGCCCCTTAAGTTATGTGTTATGTGACACTCTCAGAATAAAAAGAAGAAAAAAGGAAGACAGGGGAGCACGCAGTAAGACAGGTGGTGCCAGTGGTGCTTCCACCAAAACGTTGGCAATCAACGCTATGCGCTGTCATTAAGCATTTTCCTTCTAATTGCCATCGCTCGGACCGCAGACGATAGCAACAATTGAGCCTTTTTGTTGCAGCTAAGCGAATTCGCATCATTTACCCTCGGAATTCCGTTGCGGCCACTTTCACATCATTAACCCATACGGATAGGGCTTACAAAGTGACGCTCATCACTTGGGGTCTGAAGAAATGCTATTAGGGGCTACACTTATTTTTCTCCACTAAGTAACCGAGGATGTGTAGTACTTACTTTTTAAACCATGGTACCATTACCTAAAATATGTATTTAAATAATGTAAGGCCGCAAATTGATACACAACTTTAAAACTACAGGTTTATTTACAATATTTAAAGTTGTAAAAATATATTCATTCTATTTACACACTTAGGATTAGCTAAACAACTACTAATAAAAACTGGAGTTGATGGGTGGCTGGGGTCTGGGCGAGCCTTAAAGCTATTAACACATTTCAGTTTTTATACCCTTGCAGAGGGTATTATGATTTCAGTCAGAAGTTTGCAACGCAGTGAAGGAGACGTTTCCGACCCCATAAAGTATATATATTCTTGATCAGCATCACAAGACGAGTCGATCTAGCTATGTCCGTCTGTCCGTCTGTCCGTCCGTCTGTCCGTCTGTCTGTTTCTACGCAAACTAGTCTCTCAGTTTTTGAGCTATCGGGATAAAACTTTCCCAAAAGTCTTCTTTCTATTGCAGGTAGTATATATGTCGGAGCCGACCGGATCGGACAACTATATCTTATAGCTCCCATAGGAAGGATCGGAAAAAAAAACGTTAACAAAATTCTAGCTTCGGTGTTTTTTGAAATATTACCTTCTACTTTTGGGGATGTTATTTTTTAAATATTTCTGAATTTCGAATTAATTATTTAAAAAATCGGACTACTATATCATATAGCTGCCATAGGAACGATCGGTAAATTAATGGAAAAGTAATAGGAAATAAATTCTAGCTTCTTTGGTTTTTATTGTATTATCTTCTACTCTAGGATATGACTCTTTTTAAATATTTCCGAATTTCAATTTTAATTGGATCAAAATCGGACGACTATATCATATAGCTGCCATAGGAACGATCGGAAAATTAATGAGAAATATTAGAAAATTGAACATTTTTGCGAGTTGTTAATTAATAGGAATGATCTGCAAGGGTATATAAGCTTCGGCTGGCCGAAGCTAGCTTCCTTTCTTGTTAATTTTCGAGTCTTACAAACTAAACGTACAATGGTACATGTACTTAGATCAGAGCTTAAAGCCTTCTATAATTCTGGATGAATTTCTATATACAATAATGAGGCGATGTACCTAAATTAGGGAATTCTGCTAAGCCTAAACTACCGATTGATTTGGACTGTAGACGGGGACATTGTGGAAACTAATGCCGGCATATAATGGAGTGATTCCCCTGCTGGGCAGCATGGACTTTCCACTCGAATACAGATGCTTTTTGGGCAGAGCCCCGGCCGTTTTGCTTTGGTTAATTATCGTTGAGGCAGGCGTACCGCTGGGCCCCAAACGATTCCTGTAGCTCTCGCAGGTCTTGCGCGACCACACCCACAATCCCGTCAGGGTTCCGCCCACCAGCTGCAGGAATATCCTCACCAAGGCCGGCCAGGCACTCAGCGGGTTGGGTGAAAGGCAATCCTCGGGGGTGGAGCAGCTGGGCACCGAGTACGCGTACCGCTCGCAAAGACCCGCCACCACGCCGGCGGCTGTGGGTGCGAAGTAGAGCAGGGAGAAGATCACGAAACGCTTCCTGATCTGCCCGAAACGGTGGTGGGCCAGGGTGGGTTGCAGCTGCTGCTGCAGGGAGAGCAGCGAGCGGGAGGCCTTCAGGGTGAAGTAGAGTCCCAGGAGGAGGAGCACCAAGGCGGGCAGCTCCACGAAACCCGGCGCATGGCAGATCCCGGTCAGCTCACTCGGACGCACCTTCTCCAGCAGCAGGGCGGCAATGGGCGGGGCCAGTGAAGGCACCCAAACTAAGACGTGAAACAGGCCGGATCTCTTCTCCAGCGCCTCACTGGACCACTTCTTGTGGGAGGACAGATAGAAGCAGAGGGCGAATATCAGCCACCAGCTGGCGGCGCACAGACTCAGATAGGAGGTGGCCATGTAGGAGGCCAGGCAAGGAGGCGTCAGTTGACACGGCGCCGACCCCTCCAGACGTCCCGGCACCTGGACTTCCTGCATCCTTGCCTGGTTGTGGAACACGACGCGCTCCAGGTAGCCCACGCTGAACAGGTTGTAGCACAGGCACAGGAAGAGCACCGGCCTCTCCGGGTAGCCAAAGCGGGTGGGCTCCGCCCAGAAGGTGACCAGGGCGAACAGGGTGAGGACGAAGCAGACGGCCGAGAGGCCCAGGATCAGGGTTTCTGACATCTTCTTCTGGGCACTCGTGTGGAAGGCGTCCCGCTGGCACTGGGGAACACACTCCAGCGGGTTGAAGGGACTGCCGCTGAAGTTGTGCGGGCACAGGACACTGCCCATCCCAGGAGCCAGTGGTGGTGCTCCGCTCTTCCAGAAGCGGTAAGTCAGCGGGTGATCTTCCGCGACCGGTGAGCCGGTGGAGGGCGTTCCAAGTGGAACAGCTGCCTTCTGGGGAATCTGCATGCACAGCTCGTGCTTCTCCGGCTGCGGCAGAACGTTGCAGTTGAGGAACGAGGGCCACAGATCCATCAGTTCCGGCGGGGCCGTCTCCGTGCACTCGTCCCTTACCGTTTCGCACAGCGATTTGCAGGCGGTGACGGGGCGTGGCACATCTGGCGTGCAGAGCGGAAATAGCGACGAGCAGAGCAAAAAACGGGCGCGTCGCGAGCAACCGGATTCTATTAGTGGCACCAGTTTGGCAATCTGAAAAAAATAAGCAAAGGAAAAATTAGAAATGTACATCCTAAAACATTGCTTAATTAACTAGATTACTTAAATTAGGCTAAATTTTCACTAATAGACCGGGTTTTTCCATTTTTGTTATTTTTTTTATTTCTTTTTTTTAGTTTTTAATAATTTTTCCACTTGAATTGAGTCAAAGGGTGTGTTATTTAACAAGTGACTTTTATTTAAAAGATCAAATTTTTTAAATAAAAACAGAAACAGTGGAATAAATAACATAAAGAAAATAGGGAAGAATTACGATTCTAAACAATGCTGTAGCCAATTGTCTATAATATCGTCTAATTAAAATCGAACTAAATCTGTTATTCCTTGTTTTTTTGCCGACACGCTAGCAGTAAAAAAGGCTAATTGAACAAATGTTTTCCATTTGCACAATTGTAGTTTGTTCACACTAGCTAATGTCTGATATTAAATAAGCTAAAATTGCAAAATTATGTATTTTTCTGTTAATGATGCTCGGCTTGGATATGGCGCCTTTGGTGAATCGATTTTGAAAACAAGTTGTTAGTAAACATTATTTAAGTGGTCGTCTTGGCAAACTAACTAGACTAGACTAAAGTGCTTAATAATTATAAACAATTTTTTTTTAATTTTTTAAAGTTGTAGAATACATTTTTCGGATTTGTGAATTTGGGCTCCTGAAGATACATTTTTTACAGTGTTCACTTCTGTCCAATGCCAACGAGAAATGCCAACATTGATGACGATGACGAACCAGACGCATCCACATTTATGAGTTTGTGGAATTTTAGACAAGTCAGCGCGGCAGGGAAAAAAAACCAGGACCCAACGTAAAAGAAACGTAAGAGATCTGGGGAGCAAAAAAGCTGCATCAAATTATCGAGAAACGTTTTCTCAGGAAAAGGAATCTCCGTTTGCTTTTGAAAGCCGATCAACAGATCACCAGGGGACTTTTGGCATGGATGTCAGCCGGCTCGTCGGCTTTTGTTTGCTGGCAAACAATATTGTTTTTGTATAATTAAGCCACATTAGGCCAAGCCAAAAATACAACAAAAAATCAGAAGAAGGGAGCGAAAGAAGGAGAAGAAGGCCGGCAGCAAGAACCGGCGGCCATTTCAAATGGAGCATTAGACACGCGATTTCCAATTTGTGTAGCTTTTGCAGCTCTCTGGAAAATAACTGCCCGCAATAATAATTTAATGATGCAGTCGGCGAGTGAACCGCATCATCGTCTTGGCCGAAAGCCAGGCGAGGCAACAAAAAAACGAAAGGTAATCAGCCTAATAGATCTGCCTTAGGCCCACAAGTCGAAGTAAGAGAGAGTTACATTCGGAGCGAAAGAGACGGTCTGACGAGGTAAAGGAAGAGAAAAAGGCAAAACAGGTGACTACAAATGTGGATCGAAATTCCAATAATTTAACATCTTTAAACCATTTTTTAAGACATTGCAAACATGACTTAAGATCTAAAACGTGTATAGCTTAACAAGTTTATTTTTCGAGGAAAAAACTGAAGAACAAAAAGTATAGTTATTTTCATAATCTATATGAATAAAATCAGAGATCAAATCATATATTTTCATGAGATATAGCTTAACAAGTTTATTTTTCAAGGAAAAAACTGAAGAACAAAAAGTATAGTTATTTTCATAATCTATATGAATCAAATCAGAGATCAAATCATATATTTGCCACATGTAATAAATTCGATCTTTGGTCAAATTTTAAGAAATCATGAAATAAGTTTTTGCTTTGTCGTTCTGCTTAATTTACTTTAAAAAACTTAAAAACCACGTTTCGTTTCGCTTTTTGGGTTTTTCTTTATCTTCTCCTTCTGGTTGTTTCTTTATTCGTTTTTATTTGCCTTTTTTCTTACCATGTTTAACACATTTTGAAACCGAAAATAAAATGTGATACCCCTTTTTCGCTCTTTTTTCATAATTTAATTACAGAACAGCAACCACAATAACAAAGTTGACACCTCACAGCCTAAATGCAAACCTAATGATTTCTCGATTTTGATTAATGATTCTGATCCAACAAATAAAATCAATGGTAGTCACAGAAACAAAACAAAGGGAGAATGCTCAGCGGTACTTTGAGACTGAATATGGTTTTTTTTCGAAGGGAATTACAGGCATAACAAAGCAAAGACACATGCACAGGGAGAAATTAAGAGAATTTAATTTTGTGTGTTTCAAAAGCGTATATCAAGCCGTCTGAGCTGCTAAAAAAATTGTTGCCTCTGATGTTACGTGTATTTGCCTGTCAAGCTTTGTGGCACTTTATTTGATTTGCGCTTCATTTTATTCAGTTGCCGTTTGGCATCTTTCGGACTTGAGCGGTCTCAGATGCGATTTGACAGCTGTTCAGCTGGGTAACTGCGAACCAGTCTTTCAGGCGGCACAACTTCAAAGTCAATTGATTTTATTTGCTACGACAGCGCTTGCTCTTAGCGAGCGGTGATCACAGCTGCCGCTTTTTGTAGCTAGCATTTCTAGAATAAAAATTCTTTAAAAAATCTTAGGGCGATGTTTAACGAGCTCATGCTGAATATAATTATTTGCGGTGGTTAAAAAATCGTAATAAGCCCTAGCGTAGATAAGACCACATCCAAAAGATACAAATCGGCTAAATGGCTAAATTCAACTGACTAGTCAAGTTGGCCGACTTTTTCAAGTACCGCCAACCGCTGCCAGAGCTGTCGACTGATGTCAACGACTAACGACTGTCGTCTTACAATTAATTGACATTTTGACTGGCGAGGATTGTCATTCAAAGGCAAACTTGGTCGAGCGGAATGCACAAAAGAGCACCTCAGCATGGTTCTGAACCGTCTTCTGAACACCAAAGGGCATACCATTAGCATCAGATTATAATTCGAAGAGGAGTAAGTAATAACATTTTTAAGACGCCCAAAGACTCTTTTTTCATATAAATAATTAATTACAAATTGCAAATTTTTTTTTTTAATATAAAATTAATATTCGCTGTTTTTATCCCCTGACATACAACATAATCTGCGTCAGCGATATGCAGGCACCGGCACTCAAAGGCACAAAGATCTCTGTGGATCTGCGACTATTACTATGTTTATACGATAGCAATCACGATTTCTTGAAAGCGCGATATAGAAATTGCCCCTGTTTATACGACAGCCGAGAATTCATGCTTTTATTCACTCTCAGCTGATAGGGATGCCGGACCGGTAAAAATATATAATTGTTAATACCACTGATTACAGAAATAGCCTATAAAAGGCCATCAATTTCTAGCGATCTGGCAACGTCGATCATTTTTTACAGAGTTACCAGATTGCTTATCACGAAATCACGCTTCTGGGCTGAAATCATAGTCAACTTTCGTGTGTTGCCGAATTCACGAAATATCGTTTATACAAGCACGAATCGGCCGAAAGCGTGAAATGATAGCGTGAATTCGGCATCGTATATACTATGTTTATACGATAGCAATCACGATTTCTTGAAAGCGCGATATAGAAATTGCCCCTGTTTATACGACAGCCGAGAATTCATGCTTTTATTCACTCTCAGCTGATAGGGATGCCGGCCCGGTAAAAATATATAATTTTTAATACCACTGATTAGAGAAATGGCCTATAAAAGGCCTTCAATTTCTAGCGATCTGGCAACGTCAATCATTTTTTACAGAGTTACCAGATTGCATATCATCAAATCACGCTTTTGGGCTGAAATCATAGTCAACTTTCGTGTGTAGCCGAATTCACGAAATGGCGTTTATACAAGCACGAATCGGCCGAAAGCGTGAAATGATAGCGTGAATTCGGCATCGTATAAACACAGTAATAAACACAGTATATGTTGGCAGTACAATTGGGACATGTTTGTCCGGTTCGTGGCTAGAGATACTTCGACTGCTCCTGGAGGAGATCGTTGGACCTGACAGGCCGCGCCATGGGCTTTGGGGCAAGGAAGGAAGGTATGTGCCACCGTCTGCGGTTCTGACATTTTTAAAAAGAGCTGCCGTTTGCCGCTTAAACTCGCAACTTACAATGGAAATTATGCCAGCTGTTTTTATTTCATGTTTCTTTTGCTTTTTATTTAAATTCAGGGAAAGAGATCATCGAGATGGGTGTCGGTAAGAGCTATTAACGCGTGCGCAGGCGCGCGGGTCAATTAACTTAATTGCCATGTAATTTCGAGCGACAACAACAACAATTGAGTATAACAGCGGCCATAACAACAACATCAACATCTTACCGTCATCTTCAACATCCTGCCCCTGATGCACGAGGGCCAAACAAAAGACTTAAGACACAAACCTGCTGATGCTGCGCTTATTTTCTCTCTCACTCTCTCGTTACTTTTTTGTTGCTATCTTTTCGATACCCTGCTTCTAAGTTCCTGAGCATCATAACACAACAAATATTTATTACTTTTTTTTAATTTTTTCGAAAACAATGCTCTAAAAATGTATATGAAAACCGAAAATTATTTTTAAGTAAGTAAGCTAAAGTAAATTAAAGTAAAAATCTAGTTATACAATCCGTAAAAAGCTTACACCACGTTTCATTCTTTTCTACTTTGCTAATCAATAATAAATAATATTTAAAAAATAAAACAAAGCGTATCTAAGGATGCGAATTAAAATTTCGATGAATTTTGCTCAGAAATTCTTTTCATCCTCTCTGTGACTCCGACATTTCAGGGAGCCTCCTCCTCATCTTTCGCCTCTTTCTCCACTGGGAAGGCATTTGAAAATCGTTCCTGCATTTCTTGCGTGTGTGCCAGCAGCCGGGGAAAAAGGTAAAAAGAAGCAACTGCCGCAAAGGAATGATCTAATTGTTTTCAGTTTTTTAAATTTTTGTATTTTTTGTATGATTCTCTTGGGTTTTTATGCGTTGTCCAGTTTCGGTTTCGTCAAAATTGCAACTGCCTTACCATCATTATGGAGACGGATTGTGGTCAAAGAGAAAAATTCCAGCGAAAAGGTCTTTACACAGAAATAAATTTGGTA